TTTGGAGTAAGAACCATATGGGGAACTCCTTCTGAAAGAAATGGGATTTTAGAATTCAATGACTCTGCTTCCCTGTGAGCCCAGAACATCATTAATGGATTCCAGCAGATGGTCATATAAAATATGGATAGCATACAGAACATTTTTAACATTTAAAATTGTTGTTACTGATAGGAATCAAACCAGCTTCAAATGCTAGCCAACTCAAACAGTGTAGTTCCAAATTTATAGAACAAACAAAAATACAGCCTTCAATCTTATTTAACTGTAACATTGAAAGATCCATATTAGTTAGGACTCTACTTGTAGCTGCATATGTTAACCCAGAGCCACCAAGCATAGGGTATGACTTAGGAATCTGATTTCCTGCTGCCCCATCTCCTTGTGAGCTCCCAGCTCCCCACGCAGGGACTATCAACCTCCTTCCCCCACCCCACCCTGCCAGAGCTCATCTATAAGCATTATGTTCTGGGACTGCCATAGAAAGGCACCATGTGCTGAGTGCTTTAAACAATAGAAATTTGCTTTCTTGAAGTTCTGGAGGCCAGAAATCCAATATCAAGGTCTCTCTCCTTGTCTTGTAGATGGCCATCTTCTCCCTGTATTGTCACATGATCTGTGTGTGTATGTGTGTGTGTGCATGTGCCCCCAGTTAGTTGGTGTTTCTTTTTCTCTCCTTCATGCTCTTCCCATGCCACCCCCTGACTCCCCACATATCCCTGCTGCCACTTCCCTCCTTCTTATAAGGACACAAGTCAGATGGGATTAGGGCCCACTCTTGTGGCCTATTTTAACATAATCACCTTTTTAAAGGCCCTGTCTTCAAATATAAGTCACATTTTTAGGAACTGGGGTTAGGGCTTCAAGGTATGAATTTGGGGAATGCTATCCAATCCATAATAGTTCCCACCACTGCCCCCCACTCAGTTCCTAAGAGAAGGCCTCTTCCTCCTGAGAAAGTCAGATCATCTTTGGTAGACGCCCTCTCTCCTTCCCTCTAAGCCTCGACTTCCCAGCAGCCCAGGGTGAAGGAGGGCAGGGACTCTGTGGCTTGGCCAGTCATGGGAGTCCACAGTTGGCTTTTCCATGCTCTTCCTCTCTAGCATCTTTATGTTCTCCTACCCTCTCCCCTAAGTCCTGGCCTTCTGTCTTCTAACCTGTCCTCTTCTCTCACTTCAGGAGAGTCTTTGGCTTGGCATTTCCCATTCTGTCACCCTAGTCCTCTTCTCTTTTGGAGCCCCTTCCCACAGTCTGTCCTCCACCCTTCTGTGGTGGTATTCCTCCTACTAGTCTCAGGTGCTTCCACAGACCCATCTCCATGCAGCTCCTCACGGGGAGCCCCCACCTGGGATCAGACCTGGCCCCTTCTCATCTTTCATCTCATTCTTGCCCCCAAACAACCAACCCAGCTTCACAGTTCCCTTGTTGATCACAGGTTTTATTCTGAAAGCTTTCTTTTCTAGTCTCCACCAACCTCTCTCTAGAATTCTGATCCTGGGCTTCTAGCCTACATACACATTGATTCTTTCATCCACCAAATTCATTTGACTAAGCCGAACATATTTTACTCCTAGATACCATATTCCTTCAAAATAATTTTCCCCATCTATCTAAGCAAGAAACCTTAAAGTAATCCTTCTACCTCCCTCTGTCTCTCAATTGTATTATTTTTTTCTGTGTGAGCCCTGATCAGTGCCTTCTGGGATTAGGCAGTGGCCTCCTAACAGGATACCCTTGTCTTCCAGGTGCCAGAACCACCTGTAGGGGACTTTGAGCCCAGTCTAAGGGAAGTTTCTGTGAGAACTCCCTATTCACAAGGACAAAGGCCTAACTCTCAAACTTGGCATTTGAGACCAGCACTGTCCTGTACAACTTTCTGTAATGGTGAGAGTGTTCTGTCTGCACAGTGTGAGAGCTATTACCCATGTGTGGCTCTTGAGCACTCTAAATGTGACTAGTGTAACATGGTAGCCATATTTTTAATTTTCTTTGTGACAGTATCTTCACACCATTGGACTCTGTTACCAGCCCTGCCCTCAAGACACCCTCCACCATACACCACCCTGCTCTCCGCTCAAAGCCCTGTCTGCTGCTGACCTGGGAGCTCTTCCTTCCCTAGTCCCCAGGTCCTTCTCATGCCCCACAGCCTTTTGACCAGGTCCCCAGCCCACAGTGTTGTGTCTGTCTTCTGCGTAAACAACCACACTGACTAGCACATTTTTAAAATTATTATCTCTGTTTAACTTTTCTTTTTGTTTTAGTCAGCTCTTTCGCTGCTGTGACTAAAAGACCCCACCAGAACAATTGTAGAGAAGGAAAAGTTTATTTAAGGGCTCACAGTTTCAGAGGTCTCAATCCGTAGACAGTGGGCTCCATTCCTCAGGGCCTCAGGTGAGGCAGGAACAACATGGCAGAAGAATGTGGCAGAGGAAGCTCACATGGTGATCAGGAAACAGAGAGAGAGAGACTCCACTTGCCAGGTGCAAATATATATCCCAAAGCCACACCCCAGTTCCCACATCCTCTAGCCACACCCTAATACTTCAGTTATCACTCAGTGAATCCCTATCAGGGGATTAATTCACTGATTGGGTTAAGTCTCTAACAACCTAAATTATTTCTCTTCTGAACTTTCTTGCATCGTCTCACCCATGAGCTTTTGGGGGACACCTTACAATCAAACCATAACCTTTTGAAATAATTTCAGACTTTGAGAAAAATTACAAAATGAGTACAAATAATTCTTACATACCCTTCATTCAGATTCCTCAGATATTAACATTTTACTGTTTAGTTTTTCCTATGTCCTTTCCCTCTCTTTTTCTCATCTCTCTCCTTACCTCCCCCCCCACATATACGTATACATACATGTAGATACATATACTTATGTTTTATGAGCAGTTTGAAAGAAAGTGGCATCCATAATACTCATACACGTCAATATTTCAGTGTGGATTTTCCCTAAAAACAGGGATAATTTCTTATAAATACACAGTTTGATGGTTAAAATAGGAAACTAACACTGATACAATACCATTATCTTATTTATTGACCTTATTCAAGTGTTGCCAAATGTCCTATAAATATCCTTTATGGCAAAAGGTTTAAAAACAAGACATAAAAAAAGCCCTTCCAGCTGTATACACATCCTAATAGTCAGGGCGGTGAAGATAAGCCTTGACTAAGATTACATAGTTTGGTTTGCCCCCAGAACCCCGGCAGGAGTGTACTGGTTGGCATTTGCCTGGCACATAGAAGACCCTCTGATTTGGGAGAAGGGTGGATGGAGAATTAGCGCAGTGAGCCAGGGTGAACCTGGGGAAGCAGGCCTCGACCTGGGCCTAGCCACGTAGTTGTAGCCATCAGCTCCGTGTTCTCAGGGTGCTTCTGTTGGTTTGCCTCCTTTGGGCAGCCATCCTGGGGAATTCAGTCAGGTGGCAGGCTCTTCCCTCTGTAGAAATGCATGGCTCATCTTTCATGCAGTTAGCTAAGCTGCCTGTGGTCACCAGCAGCTCCACAGCCAGCCCAGGACATGGTGCTGATGCTCTGCAGTCCTCAGAGGTGAAGCTACATAGTTGTGTAATTGTTAAAAGTAACTCACTCAAACAGTTATCAAGGGCCTAATGTGTGCCAGGCACACTGGGTATGTGGCAGTAAGCAAAGAAAAATCCTTGCCCTCAGAAAGCGTACACTTTAGTGGGTGGGAACTGCTAACAGCAAATAAGTATATGGCTAGTCACATGGTACCTGGAGGGGATAGTTCCTCAATGTAGAGCTGGTAAGGAGGTCAGAGGCTGCAATTTGTAGAGAGTGGCAACGGACAGTCTCATGGGTGAAATGGCTTTCCCATTTTTTTATTAAGGTGTAATTTCCCTGCAGTAGTCTTCATCCTTTCAAGTGCACAGTTCTGTGAGCCTTGACAAACTTGTATAATCACATGATGACTACCCCAGTCCAGATAAGAATTCTGTCGCCTCTGTGCCCTTTGATAGTCAGCCCTCCCACCCCATCTCTGGCAGCCATTGATCTGTTCTCTGTCCTTATAGTTTTGCCTTTTCTAGAATATCATATACCTAGAATTACACAGCACAAAACCTTTAGAATCTGGTTTCTCATAGCTGTAATTCCTCCGTGTTGTATGTACCCACAGTTTGTTCCTTTTTGTTGGTGAGAAGTATTTCATTGTATCACTGTTCCATGACCATCCATTCTCCAGTTGAGGGACACTGGCATATCTTCTGATTTGGGGCAGTTATATATATGGCCACTGTAAGCTTCACAAGCAGGTGTTTGTGTGCATGTACATTTACAGTCACTTCAATAAATAGGTTAAAGGACTTTTGAGCAAAGATCCGAAAGAGATATGAAAACAAGCTATGAAAATAGTTGAGGATATGTCTGCCTATGTACCATATTACTTAGCCAAGTGGATAGATTTGTACTGTACAACTTTTCTTTTTGAGTCATTTTTCTTATTTGAGTTATTTAGAGAAAGTAGGGTAGGAAGAGAGGATGCCATTCATTCATTGATCTATTCAACAAACATTAAAAAAAAAAAAAGAAGAAGAAGAAGAAGCCACCAGTCCACAGTCTGTGACCCAAAGGAAGCCTGGGATCCTTGGATCCACACCAAAGGCTAATTTTAGTTGCTTTATCTGACATAATTTCCTCTATGGCAGTTTCCTGAAAGTTAGGGTAAGAGAGTAGTTAGTCAGTTTGGGGTTATCTTCTATGAATAGGACTATGGCTTCAGCATTTTTTGAGTTTTTGATCTCATTGGAGGCTCCAGGGACTCTTCCAGAGGCCCCTGAGAACTCACGTCCATTTGATTATGAGGTTGTTTGTAGGAGAAGCTCAGGGAGATGTCTGGAGAGACATATTCAAATGAGGGTTCCCCCCAGATGAGGGGCCAGTGGGCAAGACAGCATCCTCCCAGGATTCAGGGGCTTTGTGGAAAAACAGAGCAGACAGAAAATAACTTGTGAACATTTTCATTTCAGGTGATGCAACTGTGAAAAAGAAACCTGCCCCCAAGACACCTCCGAAGGCAGGTAATTAGTCACAGCCCCACCTGGGGCCAGGCAGTCATCTGCCAGGGGGGCTTTCCTTTACCCTACTAGACTGGCCCACTGGGTATATGATCAGAAGACCCTTCCTCAGTTCAAACTCTGCATTTATCAAGCGGAATCTGCTCCTTGAACAGGGCCTCTGGCCAGCCTGGTGCCTGGGCCTCTTTCCTGCTGCATCCTTCCCTTGTAGACATAGCAGCTCTCTCATCCCTTCAGCGAAATTCTGCCACACCCTCCGCCCTCTGCTCTGCCCCCATGTGGAGGACCCACTTTGTGCTGCTTCTGTTTCCTACTCTGATATGTCTTTGTTTACAGACTCCCTGACTGTTCTCCACGGAAGGGTGTGAAGTGCATTGATCCTGTCAGCTAGATGGTCCAGGAGTCAGATGGCAGGGCACTAGCAAATTAATAACTGAATGAGTTAAGCCTGGTGAGGAGCACTGGGCACAGGGGCTGCAATTTGTAGAGGGCGACTAGGGATGATCTCATGGGTGAAATGGCTTCTTCCCACTTTTTGTATTAAGGTGTAATTTCCCTGCAGTATTCTTCACCCTTTCTAGTGCACTGTCCTGTGAGCCTTGACAAACTTGAACAATCACATGATGACCACTCCATTAGCTCCAAACCCATGAACAGTCTTTCCTGTAGGATGTAGGGTGTAAGATGTAGATTCAAACAACTGGGGTGAGATGCAAATTCCAATGTGACCAATAAGTGGAGAATTATGGCATATAAATTGTGTGGATCACACCAAAGGAAATCAGGATAAAGAAAAGAATAAACCTAGCTTGTCCCTGAGCTCAGATATTCTGGAACAAGGGTCAGCGCCCTCAGTGTTAGCCTGAGGGTTCTGGAAGGCAAGGGAGGAGCCAGCATCCCAGCATAGATAGTAAGTGACATCAGTGAGGCCAGAAGGCCTGGGATCTCCTCCATCTTGCTCATTTTCTGCCTGTCCTCTCCAGCTATGCCTCCTCAGATCATCCAGTTTCCCGAGGACCAAAAGGTGCGTGCAGGAGAGTCGGTGGAGCTGTTCGGGAAAGTGACTGGCACCCAGCCCATCACCTGTACCTGGATGAAGTTCCGAAAGCAGGTCAGTAACAGGAGGGGGTGGCCTGAAGACAACTCATAGCCCCTGAGCCAAAAGGAGTGAGAAATGTTTTTCATCAGTTTAGAGAGACCCCCCCCCCGACACACACCTACCCATCATCCACCCACCAAACCTAAGTTTTACTAACAGTTTCTTCCAAGTTTACCAAAATCCCTGCTTTATAGATAATTTGTAAAATAAAACTACTCGTGGGTCTCATCCCATCATGGTATCTGCCTAGAATCCCATTCAGAGTCAGGAAAATTAAACCAAGACCTCAGATGACGGCTCAGATACCATGAGCTCTGTGTAATCCCGTACTAGTCTGCTGATTCCTTCTGTGATAACGGCTTAAACTTGCCACAGGCTGAAAAAATCAAGGTGCATCTTAGTGTTCAGAGAGTAAATTATATATTGAATAGAATTTTGGCTCTCAGACTAGGACTTACAATGATGATTCCTGTGGAAAAGTGTTTGAATTTCCAACGAGCTTTTAAAAGAACTTGGGGGACCCAGCCTTTCCACCACTGCCGCATGGGTAGTGTGTGCCCATGTGTGTGATCAGCAGAGGTCCTGGAATGGTGGGCTGGCTCTGGATCAGGAGCCCTACAGAAGGTCTTCTATTGCTCATTTCCATACCATTCAAATTGCTCTACGCTCAGCAATAAGCTGCTAGTATCAGGGAGGACTGTAGGATGGGAATCAGAGATGGAGACGGAAAGCTGGCCTTTGGCATCCCAAGGACATTTGCCCTGGCTTGTCTGGGCTACTATTATCTGAAATAAGACAGAATCTCATCCCTTTTCAGAGACACCTGGCCAAGTCCCAGCTCTGTCAATCAGTGTTGGGAATGTTCTGTGTCTGTGCTGAACACAGAAGTGCCACTGTCCCTGTGTGGCTGTTGAGCAGTGAGGTGTGGCTAGCAACCGAGGAACTAAATTTTTGATTTCAACTAATTAAAGATTGTTAAACAATTTTGTTGAGATATAATTCATGTAGTATAAAAATTCATCCTTTTGAAGTATACAATTCAGTAGTTTTGACAGATTCCTAAGGTTGTACAAGCATCATTGTCTAATCTCACCCTCACTCACTTCTTTAAGTTACAGGCTCACCAGCAGCCATTCCTTCCCTTCCTCCTGCCTCTGACAATGCTACCCTGGGTTCTGTCACCATACACTTGCCTATTCTGGACATTTCATTTAAGTGGAATCAGACAATATATCACCTTTTGTGTCTGGATTTTGTGTGTGTGTGGTGCTGGGGATTGAACCCAGGGCCTCACACATGCTAGGCAAGTGCTATAACACCAATCCCCACCCCAGCCCTTCTTGTAGGGAGACGGGTCCTGGGGATTGTACCCATGGGTGTTTCACTACTAAACTATATCCCCAGATTTTTTAATATTTTTACTTTGTGACAGGGTCTTGCTAAGTTGCTGAGGCTAGCCTGGAACTTGCAATCCTCCTGCCTCAGCCTTCCAAGTTGCTGGGCTTACAGGTGTGCACCACCAGGTTTATCTTAGATGTTTGTTTGTGTTTTCTTTCTTAGCATAAAGTTTTCAAAGCTTGCCAATGTTGTAGCATGAATCAGTACATTATTTCTTTTTATAGATGAATAATAAAGACCACATTTTGTTATCCCATTCATCAGTTGATGGATCTGTTTCCACTTCATTGAAATTTAAATAGCCACGTGTAGTTCTCAGCCACTGCATTGGTCAGCAAGGCAGAGGCGGGAGCCCACTAGGGTGTGTTTTGTGGCTGCCCTGGCTCAGATGCATTCTATCATCCCACCCCGGAGTGGTAGCAAGAGACTGGTCCCCTCCTGAGCTAGCTGAGATAGATTGTCCACCATGCCCATCCCTGATCTGGACACCCTCAGGGAGCCTGAGGTGGGAGAGGAGGGATTTAGGGGGAACTCAGAGACAAGATGGAGCCCCCCACAGCTTGTCCAGCAGTGTCTCTTGGAGTAAGAGCCAGGGAGGAGCCCTCTTCCTTTCCTGGCCCAAGTCTCCAGCGGCTGCTCCACCCTCCATCACCAGATCCAGGAGTCCGAGAACATCAAGGTGGAGAACAGCGAGACTGGCAGCAAGCTCACCATCCTGGCTGCACGCCAGGAGCACTGCGGCTGCTACACGCTGCTGGTGGAGAACAAGCTGGGCAGCAGGCAGGCCCAGGTCAACCTCACTGTCGTGGGTGAGTCTGGACACTGGGTGGCATGGAGGTTGGGGGATAGGGTAGACGTGAGCCCCAGGCGGGATGCCTAAACCTCAGGATCTCACCATTGTCCCATCTTTCTCTTTGCCCATGGCCTTTGTCCCCCAGCCTCCCCTTTCCTAGCTCTTACCCTATATCTGTCCTTCAAGCTGGCGCAGAACTCTAGACCCTGCCCTCACCCCCACCCCCAGCACCATTTCTTCCTATGAGGTCCCTCCTGGCTTCCCCATCTTTCTGAACACTGGAGATCCTGGGCCCCTCCACTTCTCACTCCCTCCTGATGGCCTTTAATGCCTTCTCCTTCGTGTCTGCTACCATCTGTGTCCCCTTACAAATCCCCACCTGGATTCAGTGCTGCCTTCCAACTTCACTGCTCCTGGGTCTGACTTCGGAATGCCACAAACTCAAGGTTAGACTCCAGGCTCAGCTAAGACAGTGCTGTCCTTGTCTCTGGCCAGCATTGTTTCTCAAGCTCCTCCCCCCGCAGGCCTTGGCCTCTCACTCTGAGATCCAGGACATCAGGCATGAATTTCCTCAACTTCGTGATCCCATACCTCCAGGAGTCTACTTCTGTCCCACCATTACTTCACCCTCCAGGCTCTGGGGTGGCCCACCTTGGTTGCACTTGAGGCTGCCCCCTTATCCTGTGCTCTAGATCCCAGGTTCTTGGAGATCCACCTCCCTGCTTCTCCTTTATATTCCACCTCTCTGCTCTACTGATTCCTCCCACAGCCCACAGATGTGGCCATCTTAGCCAAACACACAGGCATGTAATATTTCGTCTTGCTGTAGTCCCCTGCCCCCCATCTTCCTCTCCTGTCTCCCATCACCCCTTTGGGCGAATCCTTTGCAGGGTCAGCTTCTTCACCCCTAGCGCTCTTCAGCCCCTCACACCTCACCCCCATACTCCATTAGTCTGCGGGGCCTGCTCTTCTGAGAGTCCTCCTAATCCGAACTCCCTTTTCCTCATCTCCAACACCCTGTAATAAGTTGAGTCCCTTTCCAGACCGATTCTCAACTCATCTTCCTCTTTCCTAATCAGTTTTCAAGCCCTGGCCAGCTCTCTCCTAAAACACCAAAATCACTCTCTTAACTGCTCCTCACCATTAGCCATGCTCAGCTCCATCAGTCTTGGCTTTTCAAGGGGCAGGTGCTCAGCACAGCAGAGGAACAAACAGATGAAGGAGCGACAGATGGAGAGTAGACCGTGTCTTGTGCCTGTGTGGGCCTTTGCATGTTGAGCTCATGAAAGCCTTTGAATTGGTGTTCACTGATGTATTTAATGAGACTTGTTGTGGGTTTTGCATTTGTTCTTGGCTTTCAAGTTTATGGGGTACTTTTGTGAAAATTAGAAAAAGAAACCCCCTGGGCAAAGTGTAAATGCTGCACCCTTAGGGTTCATGGCTGGGCCTCAGGGAGCAGAGGTTGACCTCAACCCCTCCGCTGGACCCTTATGCCATGCACAAAATTCTCAACTGTGCATTACCCTTAACTTTGACTAGTCCTGCTAGCTAGACTTCCCCATGTGTGTTCCTGGTGCACACACCAATGGGCATGCAGAACATGCATGTTCTGCATGTTCTGAGAACAGGACTCATGTGGCTATAGTGCTTGGAACTCTTCCCCTGGAATCTCTCTATGGAAGTATCTAGACATTAGGTTGGAAGCTGGAGAAGGGGACTCTAAAGGACTTTTGTAACCCCGACATTCTATGGTGCCCTGACTTGGATCCCAATTGCCCTTCTTCATCCTCATCTCATATGCTTAGGACTTAGGACTTAGGTGGACAGGGATACTTCCAGCCTTACCAAGGGGAAATGGAAGACTGGGAACAAATAACAGTGCATCAGGGACCACATGGAAGCTGGATCTTGAGCACTCAGATACCTGTCCTCCAGATACTACTTATGGGTGTGTGAATGGGTACAGAATGTCCCCAAATATGAAGGAAGCCTCTGTCTAGAAAATTCATCTAGAGGGTGATGTGCAGGCTTTTGGAGAAACGTCTGCATACCAGGAAGGTGCTGACATCAGTTCCCCCATTTTTTCCACACTGAGCCTTGGGAAACCCTGCCGCATCTCCCTCCAGGACCTGAGCAGCTGGGGAAGAGGGAGTCTTTTCCACCCAGGTGAATAGGGAAGATAGGAGGACAAAGGACAAAGGTGGGGAGACAAGTGGCGTGGCCAATGAACTTGCCCAAAGCACATACTAGAACAGACCATGGGTTGCAGACCCAGTGAGGCTCCCTAGATGGGAAGAACCCCCTAGAAGACCGCTGGACACCAGGGTCCCAGGAGAGAGGATTCACCCCGTCTGGTCTGCATTTCTCCTTCTCTCCTGCCCTCCCCTCCCCATGCCTCTGTCTCTGCCCATGCTCTCCTCCATCTACTTCTGTCATTCTGGCCCATTTCCCCTTTTCCTTTTCTTCCTCTGACCCCTTTGATTCCTTAGGTCAGGAGTTTGGGATCTGAGAGGGGAATGGGTTCCTCATTCCTAAAGGGGGAAAAGGATCCTCTCCTCACTCTTTCTCTCTTTTGCGACTCCAGGTGCTTATTTCCTTAATTTCCCCCAAGGAGTCAGGAACTTTGGGGGATTGGTCCCGAGAGTTGTTTGTTTAGAGCAGTATCTGAAAGTTGGCTTGGCCCTGCTCCCGAGTCCTATCAGCCGGCATCAGCTTCCACTCTTCCTTGGTGTTCCTGCTCATCTGTCCTGCTTGGGTAACGGGGCTCAACAGCTTTGAACTGTTTTTCTGGAACCAGCGCCCCCACCCCCATCCTGGCCACCCCCGCGTGGTGCCATACACTCCCCTCCTCCATCCCCACTGCATGGGCTACAGTTGTGCCCTTTTATGGTTGAGTTTCTTATTCTCCGTGGCCAGTGCTGACAGGGCCATTGGTGTGGCTGCCCGCCAGCTGGCAGAAGTAGCATGCTAAATGCCGTCCTGGGAGGGGAATGGAATGGAGAGCAGGGCTTTCTGTCTGCCTCCCCCTCGCAGGGCTAAGAATAGAATTGCTCAATAAAATGAGGACTTGCATTGATGGGAGCAGCGAAGCCGCATTCATTCAGGGCCCATGAATTTAGAATTAGTCCAAAATAAACCAGGACTAAGCTGATTTACCTGTGTGTATCCAGGGACAGCTGTGTATTATCTCATCAGCGTTTATTAAGTAGACGTGAAATGTAAATGAGATAAAACAGGAATTGCTCGGCCTGCTCCGGACAGTTTTCAAGCACTTTAGAAGCATCTATTTACCGGCCAACTAAATAAGGCCAGTTCAATGCAACTTCCACTTGTTAGCAGTAAACTTCTTTTATGGCATGTTCTTTGAAGAACTAGTTTCTTTGCAGATATTCTATTATTCCTATTTTTAAAACAATAATAAAAACTAGCCTTTCCCTCAGTTAGTTTCAATGAGTGATGCTTAGCTATTTTGGAGGCTTATTATTATTTTAAGAGGCAGCCCAGGAATTTGAGATGCTCTGTCTCTTCCTGCCCCTGACCCCTGGTCTGCTGCCTGAGGGAGGAGGGAGGGCTGTTCCAGGAGGAGGGAGTGAGCCGCAGATCCAGATGGATTCCTTACCTTCACTCACCCAGCACCAGAAAAATAGGTCTCTTTGAATAACTTTAAAAGAGAAAAAACACAACAGAGAGAACCCCAAATGCCCAATAATCCCCAAATACCATCTGAGTTTGGAACTTGCATGATTTACAAGAGATTTCCCTTCATAATGCCTGGCTTGAGCTAAGTAAAATGCTTTCTTGATCTCCTCCTACCCTAGCCTGGAAAGTACCAAGCCCTGAAGCAGGGTCCTGAGGCTTTGTGGAATCTCCTTTTGGCTCTGTCCCTGACTAGCTGGGTTTCCTTGGTGAGCAGAGTGCCTTAGCCTCTGAGGGTGAGGATGATCCATGTAGATGACCATGGGGGGCCCTGCCAATAGCTGCTGGATTCAGCACCAGTGGAAAGATGTCCAGGCAGGTTAGGCCCAGCCACAGATGGACTTCACATGGGCACCCACAGAGAGGGCAAGGGCAGATTCTCCAGTGGGAAGCTTCACAGACAGGATCCTCCGTTTTCCCCAGAAATAAGAACGTTTGCTGAGCACAGAATCCTGAAGCTGGTACCATGAGGGACCCTTTTCTTAGAAGCAATTCCCATTCTGTCAGTCAAGTCTCCAGGGAAGCCTGGGAGAATTCTGAGGAAGTGTGGGGCTCCTGGCCGCAGACACTGAGCCAGCCACCCCTTGGCCAGGCGCTGCCCAGCACGTCTTTCCCACACTGTGTCTGTCTTTGGTGTGGAGGCTTATGGGAGCATGCTGATCCATCCTGAGGGTTCTCACCTCTGGCCAGCTCAGCCTCTGTGTGGGGTCTGTAGGTACAAAGAACAGAAAACATGAGGCACAGCCTGTGGCTCTAAGGAGGCTCCCAATCTTGTAAGACTTCAGAGCTGGGTCTTTTCTGACCCTCTTCATTGGGCACCAATTATGTGGTGAAGTTTCACTTGGAATTAAACCCTCCCTCCCCAAATTTTGTATCTTCTCTTGTGCTATAGGAGGTGAACTATATACTAAGTAAGTTAGAGAACCCTGTAATAGGAAAGGTCCAAATACTACCTCTGATACAATGCTCATTCCTCCAACTTGTCTTTTCTTGGTCAAAACAGAAGGGAGAAAATTTGCCCATGGAGTGTATCTGCATTCAGGGACACCCTCCATAACCAGCTGTGTCCAGTCACATGTCTCCCAGGCACTGGGGTAGGGCAGTGAGCGTTTCATCTCTCTGTAGGCTTTTTTACTTCCTTAGCTGGTCTTGAGAAGACTTGAACCACTTGCTGCTAAGAGAGTTTAGAGTAATAAACATCTTAGCCAACACCAGAAATGTTTCTAAAAAGACCAATATATCTTTCAGAACAAACAGTTTTTCTAAGAGAACATATTAAACAACCAGTGAAAGTGGTTCCATCACACGTCTCCAGCATGGCTGCAACACTGGGAAGTGGCTCTGACAGGCTCCCAGAATCATTCTCAGGGCAAGATCCAGGCTTGGGTTGTTGGGGACAGATTTGGATTCTGAGCTGGAATGTGGAAGAAGCAGAGCTGGGGGAGGGGCGAGAACGACTATGTAAATATAAGAATATGTATTTGTATGTGTGCATCCTTGTGTACGTACACACAAGCAGAGTTTTCTTCCCTCCGCCTAGTCACGGGGTCATTTGCAGGAATTCCCTTTGGCCTTCCTGTCTAGCTGGGGTGGGAGAGTAGAAGTCAAGTAGTTTACTTGTCTGCATTTGTTTTCACGATCCTTGCAAAAACCCCTAAGAGATAGGTACATATTAACACCATTTTCCAAATGAGAAAGACAGACAAACAGGTCTCAAATTTACTAGGGTTCACATATTTATAAATCCACATAGCATTGTTTAAATTGCCAGTTTGTGAGGCTCCATGAACTCAAACTGTACTCTGGGGATGAGGGGATTATCTCTACTTAACACACATATCTGTAACCAACCATCTACAGAAACTAAATCTGAAAAATAGGAGTTTTGTTCAGATATGCAACTAACAACAACAACAAAAAAAATCATCAAAACTCAAGAATCTCATTAAAGTGTTAACTACCATGGTTTGACCTAAAATTGGCAGCCTTACTGGTTCTGAGCCCAGATCACCTGAAGGGAAATGCTGGCTAGCCCAGAGGGCCACTTCTTATTAGTGTCCTCAGCCTTATTTCCTGTCCCTTAGTCAGGAATCGCTGGGATTTGCTATTGCAGTTTGCTTTTGAAATTCTTTGTGTCATTATACACCAGTCCTATGAGAACAGAGAGGGAGAGCAGGGACTGGAGGTGTAGCTCTGTGGTACAGCGCATGCTTAGCATGCATAGGCAGGAGGCCCTGACTTCAATCCCCAGCACCAAAAGCAAAGCAAAACAAAAGAGGTAGGTAGGGGTGATTTGTTGTGTGCTATAAAGTTAGAACAAAACTCCTGTAACAGAGATAGCAATGACTAGTCAAGGACTTCCTAAGAACTTCTCACAACAACCTTGTGACTCAGATGCTATTACTATCTACATTATCCCGATGAAGAAACTGAGGCAGAGCAGTTAAAAGCTACCGGAGCAGGTCTGTGTTCCAACCTGAATCTGTGTGACTTCAGAGCTCAACCACTATGGTATCTGGTCCGTCTGTGGGGTGGATGTTTCTCAAGTTCTAGAGAAAGTGGAGGCAGACCTTGGTTATGTCACAGGTCACTGGCCTCTGACATGAAGGACACACACACACCCTCAACTCTCTCCCAATACATATTTTTGATGGGAAATAGTCCACGCCTCCTAAGCAGCTTCCTCAATCTGTTTACTCTGAAAAATATGTTTATGACTTGAGCAGACTACAGGAAATCATGACTTGTCATTTGGAAAATTAGCCAGAAAAAGTTTTTTTCCAAGCAAGTAGGTATGTGTGGGGCTTTCTGTGCTGTCGATGAGAAATGAGAACCAGAATAGGTCCCTCCATGTGGATTCACAAGGCTGCTTCTCCCCACAACAGAGCTAATTCAAGAATGTTCTTGGGCTGGGGATGTAGGTCAGTGGTAGAGCACTACATGTGCCTACATGTGGGAGGCCCTGCACCATCCCCAGCACCATAAAAAAGAGGAGGAAAAAGAATGTTTTTCCCTGCAGCTCTGGAGAGTTTGGGTGATATTTGCTTCTCTAATCCCCAGATAAGCCAGACCCCCCAGCTGGCACGCCTTGCGCCTCTGATATCCGGAGCTCCTCGCTGACCCTGTCCTGGTACGGCTCTTCATATGATGGGGGCAGTGCCGTACAGTCCTACAGTGTTGAGATCTGGGACTCGGTGGACAAGACGTGGAAGGAACTAGCCACATGCCGCAGCACCTCTTTTAACGTCCAGGAACTGCTGCCTGACCGCGAGTACAAGTTCCGCGTGCGAGCAATCAATGTCTACGGAACCAGTGAGCCGAGCCAGGAGTCTGAGCTCACAGCCGTGGGAGAGAAACCGGAGGGTAGGCTACTCCACCTTTTGCCCATTTGAGATGAGTGTGCATGAATGAGCTTAAGTGTGTAAAGACTGTGCCGAGAGGGGTGCACAGGAAGGATGAAACATGAGCAATGGCTGGTGGGGCCTTTTGTGGCCTTGATTTCTAAGGTTGTGATGCTGATTCATACTTTTAAAGAAGTACATAGGACCTTTGAAAAGTCACTGAGCCTGTGGACTGGGGCAGTGGCTTGGATTTGGATTGTTTGCCTAGCATGCGCCAAGCACTGGGTTTGATCCCCTAAACTTCAAAAGAAACACATTGAACCAGCAATTTTAGTACTGTGCCACCATCGGGTGATAGTGTCAGGACTTGGGATGCAAAGACAGATAAGACAAGGAGCTTCAGTCTAGGGGGACAGATGTATATACAGCCAACTACAATGAGATAGGGTACATCTTACTGCAGTGTTACAAACAGAGCTGAGGGAATGTGGCAGAAAGCATGGAGAATTTATCTTGCAGACTGGAGGTTTCCTGGAGGAGGTGACACTTCAGCCATGTCTTGGAAAAGGGATTAGGATTCCAAGAGGCACGGAAGGCGTGATCAAGGGCAGGAAGTGATGGAAGTGGTGGGCTTTTGGAGAAGCTGGTGTGTAGCCAGGGCATACGTTGTGTGAGACAGAAGAGGAAGTAAGATAAAAGGCAGTTTAGGTAAAGTTGTAAAATTCATCAAAAATTTTCAGCAGGGGATTGAGAAGATGCCATCTGTGGACCAGCAGCCTTGGCATCCTGGGAGCTTGTTAGACTGCAGACTCTCGGCCCCAACACCTCAGACCTTTGGAGTCTTTGTTTTATGGGATCCACTTCTCAGAGATTTGTGTGCTCATCAAAGTTTGAGAAGCCCTAGGATGGAGGATGAGTGATAGGGAGGAGATTGGAGTCTGCCAGGTTCCAGATGGGCCTCTGTGGGGTCGTCCAGAAGAGGGATGAGAAAGGCATGAAGGAAAGCCTCAGGAGCTAGAATGGGCCATTCCTGATATCCTTTTGGTTCGAGAGTTGAGGGGGGAATTAGAAGAGTCTAAGGTGACTCGCAGTTCCTGGCTGGGTAACTGAGCACAAATTCAAGAGCCAATTAGAGGTTTATTATTGTGAGTCATCGTGGCTGATGTACATTGAGCACCTGCCATGTATTAATATGCTAATCACTTTATATGCATCATTCCATTCAGTCCTAGTAAACCAATGAAGTAGATTCTGTCATCATACCCATCTTACAGGCAGGAAATGAGGGTTAGCAGGGTGAAGCTGCTTGCCCAAGGTCACAAAGCTTGTGAAAGGTGAGTGGAAGCTTGAACTGAGAGCCATCTGGCCTAAAGCCTGTAATCCTTTGGCCAGACCAAGGGAAGGGTAGGGCTTGGGGCAGGAAAGGACATGGAGGGCTGGGCATGGTGGTGCACGCCTGTAATCTCAGCAACTCAAGAGGCTGAGGCAGGAGGATGGCGAGTTCAAAGCCAGCCTCAGCAATTTAGCAAGGCCCTGGGGCTTGAGTGACTTGGAGGTTAGATAACAGGGAGTACTGGAGGAGATGGGGGCTCCCGTTTCAGACAGGTTGAGTTGAAAGACATCCAAGAGAAGGGGACTTAAGATTACTGAGTCCAAGACTCAGGAGGAAGGTTAAGCAAGGGTTGCACATTTGGGAGTCTCCACTGTTTAACTGATAACTGAAGCCAGGGGTATTGATGAGATCACCCAGAGGAAGACAGAGAAAGTTTACACCAATAGCATGCTGCAAGAGTCTGCAGGACCAGGAGAAAGGATTGGGAGAGGAGAGAACTAGGAGGAGGTTGGAGTCCATTGTAAAAGCAGGGGAAGGAGCAAGTTAAGAAATGTTAAACTGAAAGAGATGAAGGATCAGAAGGATCTTTGGATTCAGCCCTTTGGTTGGTAGTAAGCTTTGAGATCAAAGTCCATAGAGTTTCCACAGGGTGAAAAACTGGTTGTCCTGGTTAGGAAATAGATAGAAGAAAGAGAGGCCAAGAATGTGGAACATTATCTCAAGGAGTTTTGTGGGAAGAGCAGGAAAGGTGTGCCGTGAAGTTAAGATACAGTTAGGGTTGGGGGCAGTAAAAGATGTGGAGGGCCAGGCATGGTAGTACGCATTTGTAATCTCAGCAACTCAAGAGGCTGAGGCAGGAGGATCATGAGTTCAAAGCCAGCTTCAGCAATTTAGAGGCCTAAGCACTCAATGAGACCCTATCTCATTTTTTAAAATTATTTTTTAGTTATAGATGGACACAATATCTTTATTTTATTTTTATGTGGTGCTGAGGATAGAATTCAGTGCCTCATGCATGCTAAGCCAGCACTCTACCTCTGAGCCACAAACCCAGCCCTAAATAAAACATTTTTTAACGGGGCTGGGGATGTGGCTCAGTGGTTAAACACCTCTGGGTTCAATCCCCAGTACAAAAAAAAAGAAAGAAAGAAAGAACATGGACAGATACAAGGGATTATGCTCTTGGGGAGAGCAGAGCTTAAGAGTGTGAGGCAGAGACATTTGTGGGAGACTCAAGTGCCAAAGGAGATGGGGAGGGAGCTCTCCTAGAAGTAACCAGACACATCATGAGTGTGGAAGTGTCCTTACCTCTCTTGAATTTTAAAAATTGGGAATAAAAATTGGCAACCTCAGTTTCCTAACCTCATAAATTTTCACTTTCTATTTAAAAGAGGGTTCCAGAAAGAAAGACAAGAGACACCAATGGAAAACATAGTGACTTCGCTCTGTCACCCCAGCAGCCTGTGTGCTGGGCACGTTAACCCTGAGCTCCAGGGAGGCACCTGGGCAGCTCCTGAGAGCCTCAGCTGGCATCAGGTTCTGTTGGGGGAATCTGAATAACAAAACCACCCTCTGCTGCCCTCTTACACCCCTCCCCACATCACACAGCAGTCTGAAACGGGCAGAGTCAGGAGCAGGCAGGACAGGGAGGGGGCCAGGAGAGGACCAAGTTCCAGTCTGTATGTTTTCTGGATATGACTTGGAAGAGTAACAGGAAAAGGGAGAACTGTGGTGAGAAATGTTCATGGGCTAGAAGGGACATCATCCAGAGCCCTGCTAAGCTGCAGACAGTGGGAACTAGAATCCCTGATCCTCCCCAGGCAGCTGGCCTGGAGGTGGGGGCTGCAAGGCCTTGGCCTCCAGGAAGCTGGGACAGCAGTGAGGAGGAGGGGCAGGCAGGGCTGTGGCCTTGCAGTCCTCAGCAGGAAGGCTAGTGGGCTCTTAGAGTCCACTGCTGCCCCACCCGCTGGGGCAGACAAAGGGAAATGTTGAAATCGCCTGAAATCCACAGGATGGGTCCTAGCACCCAGGACTTCCAGACAGAAAGCTGCTCCCCACCCCAGGCCCAGCTAGATTATCCAAGTCGGGGGGAAGGAGAACAGTTGGCAAGAGTTAGGTATGAGTTCTCCTTGATCTGCTCAGATGCTAGTGAATTATAAACCGGTAAAACCATCTCCTTCAATTTTAAAGGAAACAGCTCTGAGAGAGAAGTGGAGTGTGTGTATATATATGTGTGTGTGTGTGTGTGTGTGTGTGCACACACGCGCCGAGTTGGCAGATGAATAGAGTTGGAGGTCACTTCTTGGAGCAGTGGGCTACAGGGGTTGTATTAGAAGCAGTGCCTGTTAACTCTGCTCCACAAAGCCCAGCTGACGTGGGCTGTACTTTCACCACCATCACTACTTCTGCCTCTTGCCTTGGCAACCTCAGGTTCCTAACCTCATCCTGATCTCAGTTCCATCCCTGTTTATATCCCAGTCCTCAGCAGGGCATGCACCCATTGTGTGCTCCAGGCACTGCCTTGGGCACTGGGGATACAGTGAAAAAACAAAGTGGGCTCCCCACCGACTTCAGTGACTTCTCTTTGCCTTGCCGTGATGGCTCTCCCATGCAGCCAGGTCTTGAACTCCACTTACCCCACACAATCCTGCTCTGACTCTTAAATCCACTTGTCTCTTACTCCTCATCTGTCCTAGTCTAAATAGTTGTTAGCAAAACAGCTGGAACTGAGGCTTCTTGCCCCATTGGGGGCTCCTTGTAATCTGGAGGGCAGTCAGAGCTACACAACCTAGGCCATCCCTGTCCCAGATTCCAGCCCCACCTGGCCCTAGAGGATGTGACCAGGGCCACGGTGCCCTCTAGTGCCCACTGGGTGTGCAGCAGTCCCCTGCTGCAGAAAGGTTCATTGTTCTGTCCAGGGGACTCCCTGGGTCTGTGTTGTGTGAGTGCTTAGTACTCAGCTGGTCTTCTCTGGAACACCACTCCAGGGTAAGGAGATTCTCATCTGTTTTCAGGAATATCTCAGAACCCTCAGCCAAATAGCTCTTCCACTTAGCTCTTCAATCTCGTAGCTCATTCTAATTAGAGGGTTTTTGTTGTTGTTTTTAAATGTTTAGCTCAAGTCCTTTCTTCTACAATTTTAGCTCATTCCTTAGTGGAAAGATGGAAACCAAGTGGTCATGTTTGTCATTGCTGCAGCCCTAAATGCTCCAAAAGCTCGGCTTGCTGAACTGTGGTCTCTCCCCTGCTCCTCTTCTGCCCACCCCAGCCCTCCTGGTCGCCTTGCCCTTCAAGTAGAAATGTAAACAAAACAAGAGGAGGAGGGAAGAAGGGGACACAGCAGGCTGGGGTCATAACAAGAGCCCCTGCAGACAAAAGTGAAGAATTGAATCCCTAAGGATAAGGTTTAGTCCCCCAGCCAGAGCATGTGAGACGCAGAGGTGAGGACAGGCATGGTGTTTGGGAGGAGGCCAGAAGGCCAGCCAGCTCTGCAGTTGTCTGACTGGCAACAGGGTGATGGGGAGAGGCCAGCTCTGGAACTGAGGCCTTCTCCAAGGCTGCCTGGGAAGGTCCCTAATGCCAGAGTAACAGAAGACCCCTCATGGCTCTCGCACTGCCCCTCTTTGACTGGCAGAGTACAAACCCTGAAAGACACCAGGCCAAGAAAGGCTGCCTGCACTCTCTCATCTTGCTGCTCAGAACATTCCAGTCCCTTTGCCACACCAGGAAAATGTGGCAGGAAACCAAGAAAATAAAGGGTGCTGAGTATATCAGAACCACTGTCTCCGCCCTGGCACTGCAGGTCAGCGTGCTGGGGCCTCCCTGCAGGAAACCGCCATCTTGTCTCTGAGACTCAGGCCAAGGCCTGGCATCCACCAGGTGTTCAGTGAACAAGGACTCGAATCCCTTGCTTCTCTGAAAACCCTCTTTGAAACACCTTCATTGAACTAATCTACACATCCTCTGGACCTGTTCCTGGTTCCTGTGGCCCCTCAGGGCGTGAGTTCCCATTCCCATGACTTTCTCCTACCGAGGCCTGCCTGCGCAGCATGGTTCCCTCAGGCGATAGGGTGCTGTGTGGATTACGGTCTGTCACCCTGGCCTCTCCCTTGGCGATTGTGTGCTTTTCTTTTAAATCACCACTTATTTCCCAACCGGAAAGGCCTACCCTTTTCTGTTTGCCTCATCATGGCAGCCCTTCCCTCCAGTGGCCCTCCACTCCTCATCCAGCTCCATCACCGCCCTCCAATTGTCAACAACAGCCAGAGTCCTGGGAGCGGATACCAAGGGCCACAGAGTGACCCTACCTGTCGTGGCCAGTGCACATTGTCCTGATGGCAGCTCTTGAGGCCCAGGGCCCGAGGCTGAGGAACTATGCTCCTCCCTGGAGTTCACTGTACATCTCAGGGGCATCATCTTCAAGGCTAGAACAGTTCAGTCCTCCCTCAGCTGACCAGGTGCATCCTCTCAGGTCACCCTTGTCACTGATGGATTCGACGGTGGCACTCAACTCCCAGCTCTATGAATTTGGAAAAACAGATCATTTAGGCCTATGTCCGGCAGTCTCTGTGGCGCCCCATCCTGGCGCTTCCCCAGCTAAAATCTGGATCCTCATCTTTTTTCATTTTCCATGACTGTGTCCGTGTTATTCTTCCCAGTACTCTCATGTTTAGTTTTAAAACTAAACTTTGTCAGCAGCGTTTTAAGCACTCTAAACAGATCACAGCTCCTCTTGCTCCTGGTTTCAAGCTCATAACTCTCAAACCCTTTTCAGCAAGTGGCCCTTACCCTGTTACTGTTCCCTGACGGCTTAGGTTCCAGTCCTTGTTCTGCCCTCCACATGACAGGGGGACTCACCACCCACAGATCAAGCTGCACCCACTCCCTCACGGATCTGAGTGTGGCTCCTAACGCAGCCCCATCCCGCTGGCCCTGCCAGCTAACCTGCTGTGTGTCAGCCCCTCAGGAGATGCTGACACATGGGCCACCTTCCCCAGCTTTGCTGTGCTGGGGCTTCCACAAGTCACACCCTTTCCCCTGTCTTACTCTCACACTCACACACTCACACACATACTCTCACACACTTACGTTTGTACACCCCCACACCATCCCACACACTCACACGCTCCCATACTACAGCTCACACCCACTCACACACAAGTGCACACTCACACCCACCCTCACACACTTCCACACAGTCTACACACACACTCACACTCACACACACATTCACAGACTTTTAATCCTTTCTTCCCTCCCATTTCTGTCACCTCCTTGCTCTGTCTCCTCAGGAAAGTTCCCTTCATCCCTGTCGGCCAGAACACGGCCCAGATGGTGCCTGAGGAGTGCAGAGCACTACACGGAAGCTCATCCAGAGCTGGTCAGGCCCTAGAAGTCACCTGGCAGAACTCCTTCCTCCAGATGAGGAAATGGAGGCCCAGAAAGGGAAAGGCACTCGGCCAAGGCCAAAGTGGCCCTTTTGTCGAGGGACAAGCATGTATCAAGGCAAAGGAGAACCTAGCACTCAGAAATGGATGTGATCTGGGGGACACCTTGCCTGACCCCCATGTCACCCTTCACTCCTGACATAGCCGTGAGAGCAGCTGGCATGGGCTGCCTGTGTCCCTCCTAGGCCTGCCTCCTGAACACCTGCTGGCTTCGCTGTGTGCCATTGCTGACCCCTCACTGTGTCCATCATTTCCTTTAAGACACAACTCAAGCCTACTCCTCCATGAACAACTGCCCTGACTTTACATCTCGGCCCCATTTTGTCTTGCCTCCCTCCATGGTGTGTCGAATGTGTACCTCGAGGATGTGTACTTGGTTATGTGACACTTTGTAATTGGTACTTCAAGTATATATGTTTTTGCCTTTCCAACTAAATCATAAGAGAGATCATGCCTTGTATGTGTTTTGTTTTGTATGCCCACATAGCTGACAAGATGCTTGGCATACTGCTGGGATCCCATAAAAAATGTCCAACAAATAGATACATAGATTTGACACTGGAAGCAATTGTAAGTTGCTGACTTTCAAACCAGGGCAGAAAAGGATTTTGTCACAGTTGTGTGTAGGTTCTGAAAGTCCAGAGGTACTGGAAGAGGATATGTCCAGGGCCATGGGCTTAGAAAGAAAGGGATGGAGTTGAACCCTGGTGGGGGAGTGGAGGGACTGGTGCTGAGGCCAGGACCTGCCAGTCTGCACCTGGCCCTGTTTACAGTATGAACTGACTGACTCCAGAGGATGCTCAGAGGTCTGGGCTGGGAGGTCTGGTGCCCAGGAAGAGCCACAGCATGCCTTGCTCTCGATGGACCTCAGCACTAATCGCCATCTTCTCTCTGCCCCTCCTTGTCTCCCCCAGAGCCGAAGGATGAAGTGGAGGTGTCCGATGATGGTGAGTGCTGGCCAGGTGGCCTTAGGTCAGCCTCTCAGGGTGGAGCAGAGTGAGCCAGGGGATCTGATGGCTCATACTCACTCTGACTCTATGCCCTCCAGATGAGAAGGAGACTGAGATTGACTACCGAACAGTGACGGTCAACACGGAACAAAAAGTATCTGACTTCTATGACATTGAAGAGAGACTAGGATCGTAAGTAGAGTGGGAAGCCGCCCCTGGACCCCAGGGTGAAGGTGGTGCAGCCCCAGAGTTAAGCCCAGTGCCCCTCTTCCTGTCCTGATTCCTGCCGTGGGGATGGGGGACACCAGCCCAGGAATGCAGCATTGGCTGCACATTGTCAGACTACCACAGAGTCCCTCCTGCAGTCCTGTCGCAGCCTTGGGAAGGCCTTCCTTTTCTGTGCCTCCATTCACAGCACAGCCCTGAAATACAACTGGATGTGGGTGGGGTGATGTTTAGGATCCCTTCCGTATGGTCCCCAGAAGTAGAGGAGCCCGGCTGGCATCCATGCCCAGTGCTTCATCAACATGCGAAGTGGCCCCAACAATCCCCGAGGTGAACCTGCTCCACAGTGTTCCCGCTGACTCCCCCCATGGTGTGGAGGACCCCAGGCCGTCTCTCCCTGGAGGAGAACAAGAGGAAGGAGAGAAAAAGAAGCCATGCAAAGCACTTAACTACTATGGGAAAGGAGTCTGCCCTGATAGCCCTGCTAGGATGAGTTCTGTCACAGAGAAGCCTCATGCTCCCTAGTAACCGGCCGCAGGGCTCTCCCTGGGCTGTCACCAGGAGATGGTGCTAGACTGGAGCGGAAGGCAACGACTCAATAATCCTGTATTTGGGAAGGATGGACTCAACCCGACTTCATGGGTCCCTGTTCAGGGAAGGGAAGCCACCAACCAAGACCAAATAGCAGCATACTTCATTGATCTGGAGCAGGGATTGTCAAACTTTCCCCATAAAGGGCCACGTAGGTGGCATTTTAGGCTCTTTGGGCCATAGGCTTGTGTCACAGCCACTCAGTTCTGCCATTGCTGCACAAAGGCAAATATGGACAATATGTAAGCCAACAGGTTTGTCTGGGTTCCAGTCAAACCTTGACTGTAAAAAGATGCAGGCCAGGTTTGTCCTGTCACCATGGTTTGAGAGCCCAACTTAGTAGAAATCTTGACTAAATTTGGCTTTTTTCTTCTCCCCCACCCCCATTTTTTTTTTTTTTTTTTGGTGTGTGTGTAGTGGGAAATTTGGACAAGTCTTTCGACTTGTAGAAAAGAAAACTGGAAAAATCTGGGCAGGGAAATTCTTCAAGGCATATTCAGCAAAAGAGAAAGAGAACATCCGGCAGGAGATCAGCATCATGAACTGCCTCCACCACCCCAAGCTGGTCCAGTGTGTGGACGCCTTTGAAGAAAAGGCCAACATCGTCATGGTCCTGGAGATGTGAGTGGCATGCGGGACTGGGATCCCCCACCTGTGTCCCTCCCACTGTCCCACCTCAGCCATGTCTGACCCAAGGTAGACAGAGCTGCACTCAGTTGAACTGGGCAAGATTCTCCCCACCCTGTGGCCAGGATTGACCAGTAGGAACTAGAACTGTCCCTGACCCACTGGGCGGTGGCCTGCCTGTCATCCTGTGCTCATTTCCTCACTGGCACATCTTCCAGACCCTGAATCCTTTCCCCTCTAGTCTCCTCACAAAAGGGCCAAAGCCATCTCTAATGTCCTTGATTTCATGCAGGGCATTCTCACCTAGAGGTAGTATAAGCTTGAAGGGAAAGGACAGGGCAGCTTCCTGACTCCCCACAAAAGTAAAGGGGACCTGGGGCTGGTCCTTTCACTGAGCCTCTGCATGACCTTGTTCCACCCTTATTTTTGCCTTTTTGATTTCTCACTCACTAGAGTAGCCCTTTCTCTGCTGAGTTGTGCAAAGGCAGGGGAATGGATCAAATGAACTCCAGCCAAGGCTTCCCAGAATCCATTGTTCCCTCTGTATCCCAATCCTCTGCCTCCCTCCTTCTTTCTCTCTCTCTCTCTCTCTCTCTCTCTCTCTCTCTCTCACACACACACACACACACACACACGCCCACACACTACACAAACACAATGGCACCAGTAAGTCACGTGTCCTCCATGGTATCTGCATTTTTTCCTTTGCTCATCTGAATATTCAGAATTTTTTGAAAATATACAAATCACATCAAAAAATTATAAGTAAATACACAGTGAAAAGTTTTATTCCCACCCCTGTCCCCCATCTTTCTACCTCACTTCCACCTCCACCAGAGGTAAACAATTTTATTGGTTTCTGTCTGTATTCTTCCAAAGTTTCTTTATGAAAATATGAACATATATGACACACATTCTTATTTTCCTGCACAATAACACAAAGCAACTTACTGCACTTGCTATCCCACATTTTGCAATTTCCCATGCAGTGTGACAGTCGGTCCCTCGTTCTCACAGCTTCATGGGATCTTGCTGTATAGACACAGCACACATCTTTAAGCCATCTGCTTTTGATAAGCAGTCAGGCAGTTTTCAGTCTTTTGCTTTTGCAAATAAGCATTGTTTATAACCTCACATGCCTCTGTATATCTGTAGCTTACATTCCCAGAAGTGAGGGAGCCCTGGATGTAAGGGTCTGCACATTTGAAATTTTTGCAGCCATTATAGAATTGCCTTCAGCGTCCTTGCGTGACGCATTCTGAACTTTGGGGATCTCAGTCCTTGGGAAAGGCTTCCTCAGTGTCTGGGCATTCTTCCCCAGGAAAGATGAGGCCTGTGAATGGAATAATAGCCACCTCTTCTCTCCCCTGATCACAGCAACATTTAAATATACTCCTTTTCTAACATGTTCCTTAGGACAGGCAAGAGTGGTTAAGAGTGCAGATGTGAGTCAAGTAGACCTGACTTCAGATCCCAGCTTTGTCTCTTGCTTGTTATCTGACCTTGAACAAGTTACTCAACTGTGCCAATCCTTAGTTTTATTATACCTAAAAGAGGCTGTTACAATGGTCTCCTTGTTAAGTGGAACAATGCTTTCAAGACACAGTGCCCTGTGATTGGCGGGGAGACTATCAGTATCATACATTGATTTCCTCTGTCTCCTGGCCTTTTTTCCATTTAAAAGTATGATGTCAACATTTTAACATTGAACTAGGTTTCATGGAACAGATTCCTAGTATCAGGAAGCTTGGCCCAAGTTCTATTTTATAATTGTTCAATTCTACCAGGAAAAGAAGTATTTGGGTTGAATAATTAATCCCAAGCCTCCCATTTTAGCTATAAAAATCTACAATTCTGTGGAATCATAAATGACTCTGAGAAAATCTTCACTTGTATCTTCTGATCAAACCCTCACACCACCCCGCCCCCAGCCCCCCACTCTCAGGAAGTATTTAGCCCATGTCTATAACCTCGTTCATCCTACCCCCTACAAAACTCCAGGGGCTGAGACTTTTCACAGTTGTTCTAGAATAAATTGCTTAGTCCAGGCAGAGTGGGCATATGAGGACATGTGTAGAAATGTCTTATCTTTAGAAGTTAAACCTTGAGCAAGTTCGTGAGAGGGGGCAGGAGGCAGCCGAGCCTGGGTAAGGCCAGGCGGCAGCACCAGTGGGCAGAATACCATACTTAGCTTGGAATTGAGAGTTGGCAAGCTGGATGGAAAAAGCAGGGAGAAACATAAGAAGGTCTCAGCTGGTCTGGCTTTCATCCCTTCACCCCACTCCTCCCCCATGGACAAGAGCAAGTCTTACATGCACAGATGCCAGAAGATTCATTTGCCTGTGCTGGGGCTCTGGACCCAAGAAGAGGGGAGCAGGACGTATGTCCTCCATCCATATTCCCTTCCAGCCTAATCATCCTAAGATGGGCCACAGAGAGGGAAAGGTTGATGTTTAACAGTATAATTTGCTATTCTTCCTTGATGGAGAAACGAACTCAAGAGAAGAGTGAAGCTTGGTGATACAGAAATGTTTGAGTGGTTGAGTGCCCCTGACTTCAATTCCTGGTACCCCTGCACCCCCGCCAAAAAAAAAGAAAAAGAAATGAATTTCTTCCATTCAGCTGTCTCAGATATGTGAGAAAGAAGAATACATGTGTTTTCTGCCTTTCTAACTTCTGAATTTACTGGACAAGCCCCCATCCTACAGCAGTGCTGCTCTGAGACATGGCCTGGAGCCTGGGCTTGTCCTTTTGGAAATATTTGGTACATTCCAAGTGGTGGTGGGACCCTGAGCACTGAAGAGGGTGTGAGGTTTAGGCTGAGTCATTGGTGGCCGACCTGTCCTTTGTGCTACTGCACAAAATTGATCAAAGAGCATCCAGCTGGAAGCCATGAGATAAGGAGGAGAGGGCCTGGGTAGAGAATCTCTGGCCAGCCCTTCTGGCTGCCAATGAGGGCTGGCCAAGGCCTAAAGATTTGAGGATAAATTTGATCCCTTGGGACAGGCAACCTTGGTGATAATAGGTATTTCATTTATTGATTCACTCACTATTAATTTAGTAAGCACACATTTCCTCTGGCACAGTCTTAGCCCTTGGCATTATCCTATCTCTGTGGATGGTGGCTTCTTTCTACCAAGCCTATACTTTCACCATAGTCTAGAGAATCTTGAAGAGAAACTTTCAGAGCCATTAATCCTCCTTATTTGGAATAGGAGCAAACCTATTTGAACTGATAATGAATAAGTTATCTCTAGAAGTGCCTCAGTAATTATCTCCGTGGCTCAGATATCTGCTACTCATTGCCTCAAGACATTCCCAAGGGCACTGAAAATAATGGTTGCTTGCTTTCTCAGAATAGTATAAACAAACATTTGGGGCATCTTGTCTGTTCCAGATACCTCCAGGTGCAAGGCCTGGAGGTGAGCCAGACCTTTGCAGACATGCTGACAAACAACTTTGAGACAAGGCACAGATGCCCACAGAAGGAAAGAGCTTTCCATATAGAGAAATAGGGAGGAATTTCTTCTAGGGTGTGGATTTCAGCTGTCTATCAGGATGGTAGTGGAGTAAGCCAGTATTTCCCAACCTGTCTGACTAATAGAGTAACTGGGTATGTCTTAAAAGTACAGATTTTCAGATCCTTCCCAAGGTTTCCTAAATCAGAATCTCCAGGGAAGAAGCTTGGGAATCTGTATTTTTAGTGAGAGCCACAAGTATTCTTTAAAATAAAAAATTAATAATCAGCATGCACTTACTATGTACAGGGCAGCCTTTTTTTAATTGATTTTATTTTTTAAATACACGACAGCAGAATACACGACATCACAATTCTTATTATACATATAGAGCACAATTTTTCATATCTCTGTTTGTATATAAAGTATATTCACACCAATTCATGTCTCCATACATGTACTTTGGATAATGATGTCCACCACATTCCACTATCATTGCTAACCCCTGCCCCCTCCCTTCCCCTCCTACCCTCTGCCCTATCTAGAGGGGAGGAATAGACAAACTCTAGACAGGGAAGCCTTCTAAGCACTTTGCCTGGATTAACTCAATCCATCTTGGTAGCAATCCTGTGGGGTGGTGATATTTTTATCTTCAGATTACAAATGAAGAAATTGAGACACAGAAGTGTTAAGACTCACCTGAGACCTAACATTGTAGAGGTTGTCTCAAAGCCTTGGTGGAGAGCAATAGAAATGGAGGGCTTAAGGACAAGGGCGCCACCTGCTAGCTGTGCAGAAACCTTCTTCTTGGGTTGGTTCTTAAGCATCAGTTTTAGTGCCCCCTAGTGGCTACTTGCATACACTAAGCTTTCCTGGCTTAGTCCTGTCCCAACATCATATGGTGATGGAGGTGGACAGGCCATGATGAGCTTGGTGCATCCTTGTCTGTTTCTCCCACAGAGGTCAGTGGCAAGATCCACCTGGCCCACCAGAGGTTGTCAAACAATAATATGTGCTGAGCACCTCCTATGTGTCAAGAGAGATACTTTACAAAGTTTTCAACATTCCTAACAATTCAGGGAGGTACAGCAAATAAGGAACCTAGGGCTTTGGAGGGTTAACTTTCCAAAATTTACATAGTTTGTAAAAGGTAGAAAGACGGTGTTCAGTCAGTCCTTCATCTCTTCATGATGTTCCCCTTAGGAGAAGGGACACTCAAGTAAGAGCAGAGTCCTGGGAGGAAGTCTATCCAGCCTTGTCCAGCTGGTGGACCCCCAGTCTGTTGTAGGAAAGAGAGTGTACTGGTATCTGAATGCTGCATAAGTTGCCAAGGACATGCTTTAAACCTGCTGAGCAGTAAGCAAGGAAGGTGGCCCAAGAGCTGGGGTTGTATTTAGCAGGGCTGTGCATTTGCACTTAAGGACAATATGCTGGTTGGCTGAGGCCCAGGACAGCTTTTAGCACAGGACTCCAGGCTGTAGGTTCCAGGAGTCGAATGAAATGGACATGGCCAGGATCCAGAGTCTATCCAGGTACAAAGGATTACACTTCCAGTGTGGACAAGAAAGGAGTCCAGGCACAATAGTTAGTGGCTGGAGGAAGTAAACCAATACTAGGCTTAGCCAGAGTATGCAAACCTGTCAGTTTAGTGGGCTATAGCCAACTAATTCTAGAAAATTTGCTGAGGCTTCCTTAACAGACAAATATTTTTCCATAACCAATGCTTATGGAAACTATCTTTTAAACTTCAGCTCCCTGTGACTAAAAGACACAGCAAGGGTATGAGAATTTTTTGTGTGTTCATCTGTGGTCCTATGAGGGAAAGAGACTGCTCAGTGGTTACCCTTTTTGCTAAGGAGATCATATCCAGATTCCTCCATTCACACACACCCCTGAGACTGTCTGGGCTGAGTACTTTCTTGATTTTAGATCCTTCCCTGAGACCCCCAGCAGCTTGGCAGGGCAGCGCCCCACTCAAAGCAGAAAACCAGGAGACCCTGACCCCCCTCCCATGATGGAAGAGTGGGACTCATAAAGCTGTAGGAAGTGCCCCTCCCCCATCCTACCAGGGCCAGACACCCCACCAGCACAACCCCACAATCCTAAGATCTGACCACAGTGCCCTTCCAACCTCCTTCCAACCTCCTGTCCCCACAGTGTTTCGGGAGGAGAGCTGTTTGAGCGTATCATCGATGAGGACTTTGAGCTGACAGAGCGCGAGTGCATCAAGTACATGCGGCAGATCTCCGAGGGGGTGGAGTACATCCACAAGCAGGGCATCGTGCACCTGGACCTCAAACCTGAGAACATCATGTGCGTCAACAAGACGGGCACCAAGATCAAGCTCATTGACTTCGGTCTGGCCCGAAGGCTGGGTAAGGCTGAACTACCTCTCTTCCACTGTGTGGTAGCAAGCAGCTGTTTGTGCTCCATTATCAGGGCCAAAGTGGGAGACCATGAAGACTGCTCAGGTTCAAAGTCAGTCCCAACCATTTAGTACTGTGTGACACAATACCTCATAGGCTTATTATAAGGACCAAACAGGTTGGTCCTAAAATAAAGCAACAGCAGCAGTGCCTGCGATTGGCAAGGCGTTAGCTACTTATCTGATGAGAAGGAGGAGAAGGGGGTCATTAGCAGCAAAACTCAGCAAAACTCATTTTGATTATGGCAGCCTCTCACATCTACATCATACTGCACAGTTTCCAGAGTACTTTTACTTTAAAAATTAAAATTTTTTAAATCCCATTGATTCTCATCCAGAGGTAGGTAGGGTGGACTTCTTGAGCCCCGCTTCACAGAGTAGGAGATGTGTAGGTGCTGTGCCCAGCACATCCCACCATGAGCCAGGGGAGGTGCTGGGGCTGGAAGGACTGGAGCCCAGTCCAAGGTGCTCTGTAGCCCTTCTGCTATTCGTACCCTGAGTGGAGGAGAGAAGGGGAGAAGTGGTTGGGGCCTCATACCCATCCTGAAGTCGTTTTGGTCAGTGACTGCCTCACGAACTACCTGCAGCCACTCTGCTCTGCAGTCTTTGATGTTTCAGTAACTGAGCAAAAGGCTTCTCTCTCCCATTGCAGTCACTGCCCAGTTAACAGGAGCTCCAGGCTGGTTTGAAGCTGTCCTTTATTTCACTACATTGTGGAAATCAGGAAGTCACTGGCCAAGCTAACACCATCTGGTAAACCTCCCAGGATGTCCAGTCCTGGTTGAGGCCATGTTATTGCTATAGAGGACGCTGAGGGAGGAAATTCCTGATAGGCCTTGACTTGCCTGACGACACTAGGCAACACACCTCCCTGCTCTCTCCTGCTACAGGGACAGGGTGGGATTAGCAGCCAGTGTACACGGCCTGCCTTTGGGAAGTACCCATTAATAAAGTAAATGAATAGGGAAGAACTGGCCTCAGGAGCTGGCAGTGTCAAAGCCAGGGAACACAATGTTCAGATTCCCTTGAGGGAGGGGTACTGTGGCAACAGTGGTATCCACCAAGGACCAGAGAATAGACGTGGTTACCATAACAGGAAGGTTTGGGTGACAGCTATTAAGTGCTGTCTGTTTTAGAACATTTGCCATGGGGCCTGCATAGTTGAACAAGACCAGATGTGGCCCCTGGGGCAAAGGCCTGCAACTCAACATGCTGACGATAGCTTCCGGCAGCAGGCCCCTGCCCTGTGAAAACTAACAGGCTCCCGTCCTTTGAGACTGAGAGACACCATGTGTGATTGAGGCCACCGAACATCCCAGGGCTCCTAAGAGAAGAGACGTGGAGCTACAGGGGCAACAGGAGAGGAGCAGAGGGACAAGGATGGAGGGAACCTGGTTCAGCAATAGACCACCTGGTTGAGGTCTTGAACCTGATTTACTGTGTGGGCCTCAGTTTCGTGCTCAGTAGCATGGACATCACACCTACTTCTCAGGATTGTTGAGAATATTAAATAGAAAAATCCTTGCAAAGTATGTAGCAGAGTACGTAAGACACAATGATTGGTAGACATTATTGAGTATAAGTCATGATCCCTGCCTTGGGGAACCACCTATGGGAGATAACACAGAGAAGGACCACTCAGGGGCGGGTGCTTCAGTGGCCTCTTCTCACTCTCCCCATCCCTCTCAGGACATCTGAGGTAAGTGTGTGGTTTGTTGGCTTCTCTGGTGGGTTGATGCACCTGTTTAATGAGGAGGCCAGGTGCCTTTGTATGGTTATCTAAGGAGAGAGCATCTAAGCGCCCAGCCCTTGTCTGTCCCTTCCAGTTTGGGGCTCATCACGCAGACAAGACAGATACCTACCTTGACCTGGCTCTACAATGTGCTGGCAATTGACCCCTTTCTGTCTTGATTTCAGAGAATGCAGGGTCTCTGAAGGTCCTCTTTGGCACCCCAGAGTTTGTGGCTCCAGAAGTGATCAACTATGAACCCATCGGCTATGCCACTGACATGTGGAGCATCGGGGTCATCTGCTATATCCTGTGAGTCCCAAGGCAGTGGGGGGAGGGGGTCAGAGAGTCCCACAGGATGGGTCCCAGGCTGCCATAATGTTGTGAGGGAGGGGTCAGGGCAGGTCATGATGGGGAGCCCACCCCAGAGCAAAAGGGCAACAGGTTCCCATTCCTGGTTCCTGATGGCCCACCATGCTCGTGGACTCCCAGAGCACCAGTGGCCTGCTTCACTCTTCTGGAGCTATGTAGACCACACACCAAGATCCCCATGCCAGGTCCTTCATGATCCCAAGTGCTGACAGCCTGGGGCCTTTGGTCAGGAGCAGGGTAAATGCAGCTGGCACCATCACCTGTATAGATGGGCCCACAAAGAAGTGAGGGAGCCCAGGTGCATATCTCTGGGAATCTTCATTGTCTTGCAAGGACAGCACCCCATCCTCCTGGGATGAGGACCTCAACCACCAGCCTGGTCTCTGACCCCAGAGTATGTACTTCAATGTGAAAACAGGAACAGAAAGCAATACAGTAATTAGAACTGGGGAGTCAGGTGGAAAACATGACCATTTCGATTACTAAGCTGGGGAAAGAGAGGCCATCGATCTAGACCTGTGCTTTGCAACCCTTAACATGTATGAGTCACCTAGGTTCTCACTCAGGTTTCAGGTTTTGACTCAGGTCTGGGGGACCTGAGACTCCACGCTGCTAGTAGTTTCCAGGTTGCCCAAGGTGCTGGTCCAAGGACACACCTGGAGTAAGGAAGCTCCAGAACACGCTCTCTTAGTGCATCACGTTGATTTCATTTCTGAAGCCTCAGGCCACAGGCAGTCTTTAGCCTCAGAGGCATCCCTGAACTCATGGGGCAATAGGTTTGAGATGGTCTCCCCAAAAATGCCTTTAAAAGTTATTTTTTATTGTCAAAATCAAAGGAAAATTAAAGTTTTTCATAGAAAACTAAAGGAAGATCTTGAAGAATACCCAGGAGAAGAGTCTCAGTGACTCTGATGCCCCGTGGGTTTTGGAATCACTGTTACAAAAGCTTTAGTAGGAGTGGGATGAGTTTGGTGCAGTAGAGATTTTGGTAAGCCCAGGAGTTGTTTTACTCTCCACCGTGAGGACAGCCTCCCTCAGTTGAAACTCTGCCAGTTTCTGTAACCCAGGGAGTCTCCTTCTTCCTCTCCCTGGGCCTTCTCCCCCACAAACAGCCCACCCCAGAGCAGGGGAGAAGAAATCCCAGGCCAGTCTACATTTCCCTCCTCTCTTCACACTAGCGCCCTCCAGGAGATGGCGCTGGTGAGTAAATTCAGCCCCACCTTTCTTCTGGCTCCTGTGGTAAAGAGCAGAGAGTGTTGGGCTCAGTCTGCCCCTTCCGGAGCTGCCCTGGGTCTGGCCAGTGCTCACTCTGGCTTCTTTTCTGTTTTGGTACTGGGGATTGAACGGAGAGACATTTAACCTGAGCCACATCCCCAGCCTTTTTTTTTTTTTTTTTTGGACAGGGTCTTGCTAGGTTGCTTAGGACCTTGCTAAATTGCTGAGGCTGGCTTTGAACTCATGATCCTCCTGCCTCAGCCTCCTGAGTTGCTAGGATTTACAGCACGCACCACCATACTCAGCCCTTGCTTTGGTTTCTGAGCCCTGAGAAACACCTGGTCCTACAGGAGCCATCCTTGGCCAGCTCACTCTATTCAGACCCTGCTGCCCTATGGCTTGGCTGGGTGCCCAGGCCCCACTTCAGCCATTAATGAGTTTTGCCTCCCTGCTTGTGTCAGTGTTTTCCTGTCCCATAGCAGGGGGCCTCTATGTCAAGAGGGAGGAGATAGACGTGTATGTGTGTCCAGAACACCAATTTCCACCCGGGGGTTGGTTCCATCCTCTGCGCAAACCTGAAGTGGGAAGTGGCAGGAATTTGATTTTCATTTGGCACTGAGGTAACTGGAGCCATGGAGGCCACTTGGCTGTCCACTTCCCACAGTCTGGGCTGGTGACCAAGAGTCCCAGTTTGCACAGGACCCATGGTTTCCCAGGATACAGGACTTTAAGGGCTAAAATGGGGACAGCCTCAGGCAAACTGGTCAGCGACAGCAGGGACTGGACTAGTCATTAAGCTTTCAGTGAGCATACCCTGCGCTTCACCCAGGTGGAGACAGACTCCACCAGGCCCAGCAGCCATCAGGGACCTTCCCAGTTACTGTTCCCCAGAGACACCCCCTGTCCTCATGTCTTGCTGTGGATTGGTTCTACCTGTTCTTGGGCTTCATGTGAATAAAATCACACAGTCTTCTTTTGCTCCAGTGGTGAGATTCATTCCTGTTATCTGCAGTTGTAGACTGTTAACTCTGTACCCATAGCCATTGCAGACCATTTTTGTGACTACAATCCAGCTAATTTATCCATTCTGCATTGGTGAGCTTTTGAGTAGTTTCCAATTTGAAGTCTAAAAGAAGTCTCCATGTTTTAGTGAGTCTATCTATGCATTCCTTTTGGGTATATAATCTAGAAATAGAATTACTAGGTCATAAGAGCATTTAATTTTAAAATAAAAACTCTTTTAGGTGGAAGGACATGGTGGTTTGGGTTCTAGGCTACCCCATTTACTATATTACCTTTAGAGCTAAGACCAAGAAATAGGGAAGGATAATTTTGATGCATGGGGCACCAACCTGAAGGTGCTTGGCATAGAGATGTCAGGAGGGAGGAGATAGATGTGTATGTGTGTCCAGAAAACCAGTGGAGCCCAGGAGAGGTGCTGGCTCAGCCCTGGCTTAGCTCCACACAATGCCCTGACTCCCACACCCACCACGGGGGGCCACTGCCCTCTGGGATGCTCCTGAGCTGATCCCTCAATGCTGATCTGGGTCTGGGAGTTCCCCTCCAGAGCTAGGGCTCTTGGCAGAGCACATGGTACCAAAAATAAAAGTTGGAGCCAGCTAGATGACGTAAGCCTCTGCCATACAGAACTCTGGAGTCATGCTGGAAGCACCCAGAAGAGATTCTCTGGTGCCTCCATGGCATCCTCTGCCCTGCTTCATCTTGTTTCCAGCCAAGTCGTTTGTCCGACAGTCCCTGTCTGGGGGGGCTTCCACCTCGAACAGAGAATCCCTCCTGATTTCCTTTCTGGGGCCAGTGAAAGACGACAAGTAGGAGGCGGGTAGCCAAGTGATAACACCTTTGTAATTCAGCAAGTCTTTGGTGGGCACCTCCAGAAAGCTGCCTCAGGCCACCCAGGGTGATGTGACTTCACTATGACACCCCTTCATAAACCCAGCCCAGAAACCTGGTTAAGTCCTGCCCCTGCTCACTTCCAATCCTGGGTTTTCTCCCTCCTGGTTCTGAAGGTCTCCTGGAGGCCTTCTGAAATGAGCAAGACCCAGTTGGTTTCTGGCAGGAAGAGAGCGCCAGGCCACACTTCCATGTGGAAGAAATTATGCACCCACCTCCTTTTCTAAAACCTCCTTCCATCTGCCATCTCCCCTTCCTGTTTCCTGAGCACTTGGTGTTCTCTTGCTGCCTCGGGGAGGGGATTCTGCTTTGTGCTTTGCCTCATCCCTCCTCCATTTCTTCCTCCTCTCCACCACCACTAGGAAGAAGAAGCAGCAATCGCTACTCCACTTTCCCCTCCCTCTCATCTTCCTGTCTCAACAATGGATTCTTCCACTTCAATTTATAAATTTTTTTTTTCAGTACTGGTGATTGAATCCAGGATCTTGCACAAGCTAGGCAAGTGTGCTACCTCTGAGCTACATCCCCAACCCCCCACCTGTTTGGTTTTTGTTTAAACTTTGAGATAGGGTTTTATTAAGTTGTCCAGGCTGGCCTTAAATTCATAATCCTCCTGCCTCTGCCTCTGGAGTAACCAGGATTACAGGCATGCACCCCAACGCCTGGCTCACTTCAGCTCATTTGTGGAGTACCTGCATGGTCAAGAGCTGGGGCTGCCCCCATCCTGGTGTATGGTTGGGAAGGGGGGAATACCAGAAGGGAGGAGAGGTGAGTGGCAGTTTTTGAGTTCTTCTGGGGACAGCAGCCCAGTCAGCTGGGGGGAGTCCCATGCTTAAGCAGAGTACAGGGCACATCCTGCATCTGGGGTCTAGATGCAGGGCTCTTCGGAAGGAGCAGGTGGCCTCTGCCTTCCCTACCCAGGGCTGTCCTTCCCTCTCCACTGCTGCAGTTTGATGTGCTTGTTGATTCACGTTTTATGACCTCCAGGCTCTCTGCTCCCTTGCCAAACCTGGCCACCACCTTCAGGTCTTGCTGTCCAGGGACTTGGGTTGTGGTTAACAGGACTAAAGCCAGGCCACTGCTTCCTCAACCATTAAAAAAGACCAGACTCGGGTCCTCTGTGGACCTGCCCAGCCCTCTCAAGTTGCCATCAGAGTATCTGAAAGTTAAAATGGGGTAAAGAGGAAGTCCTTCTGCAGTAGTCAGTAGCTCTGCTGGCAGATATGTGGTCCCCTTGCTGGTCTGCACCTTGAAAAACAACATGGAGAAAGTGTAGCCCAAGAGTCATTTATGTGCCCTCTGCTGTCCTGAGATTCTGCCCTGATAGCAGGATAGGCCCCTGCACTAAATTCCCCGGTGAAGTTCTGGACTGAAAATAAGAATGAAGAAATTAGAGTTGGTAGCCAAGTGCAATTGCACACACCTGTAATCCCAGTTACTCAAGAGGCTGAGACAGGGGAACCGTAAGTTCAAGGCCACTTGTGAGACCCTGTCTCAAAATAAAATTTAAAAGGGGGGGCTGGGGATGTGACTCAGTAGTAGAGCCAAGGCTCTGTGTTTGACACCCCCACCCCCAGTACTGTGAAACAGAAGAATGGAGAAATTAGAGTGTCCTGCATACATGACTTTTGTCACTCCTCAGTGTTCAGCATGAACATGGAGACTGTACATATTGAGATGTGAAGTGAGGAAAAAGTAACGCACCCCGAGACTTTGCCCAGACCTGTCACATTTGTGAAAACCAGATAAATAGGTTGGTTAAAAACTAAATACGACTAGGAAGGGGGAAAGAGTTGTGTTGTAATGCTAACATTAGTGTATTTGTTCATTGGTTGATTTTTAACAAATAGTGAGGTTTTTGTTTTTATTTTTAAAGAAAAAGACATGTTATCTCTTATGGAAATTCTAATAAAGCCCAAAAAAGAAAGTTAAAAAAAAATCCAGCAAAATCCAACCATCCAGAAAATAGCATCACTGGAAATTTGAACTCTCTTCGTCCCTTTGCTGTGTACCTGTATTTTCCATGTTTTACTCCAGAGATGTGCTCTTTGGTAGGGAGAATGCTAGTTCCTCAGCAGGCAAAGAACCAGCCAGGACACAGGACACAGAGGGTATTTCAGATGGCTGGCTGCCAGGAGGGAGGAGGGCCAGAGGCCAGAGGCCAGGAGGCTCTCCCTGCCTGTGAAAAGCACAGAGATTAAGACCTATCTTCGCAGGATTACAGTTCCTAATTAGGAAAGGAGGCTTGCAGAAGGGGACCTTTCAGCATTCCACAGCAGGCTTGTTTGCTTTTCCTGCCATCTTTTAGAGTGCTGCAAGACTTTCCCCCTCTTTGTTTAAAATAGAAAATATAAAGACAAGAAGAAGCAGGTAACTGATGGGCAGAGACATGCTGCTGCTTGATGGGGCTCACGGAGGCCATGGAGGGTGGCAGAGATGCAGGGAGCTGAGAGGCCCCTGGGAGATCTAGCCCAGACCCCATGGTGTATAAAAGGGGAGACTGAGGCCCAGAGAGGGGAAAGGAAATCACATGGCAAAGTACAGGCTCAGGTAAACTCCCACCCTTCCCTAATGTGACAGGAGTGGGAACTGTCACCTCTTTGCCTTCATAAAACAAATCAGTGTCCTGCCTTAAGAAATATCAACTACCAAAGTCTATTATTCAAAAACACAAATATGTTGATTAGGCTGAGATAATTCTCATTGCAAAAGCTTTCCTTGCTTTATAAAATCTCTTACCAGAGGGCTTCTCCCATGGCCAGCTTTCTTCTAGGTGGGTTTTGTTCCACCAAATTCAGTGTTTGGCTGTGGGTGTATTTCGTAAGCCAAGGCCGTTTCCATGCCAAAACAGCTCCAGAAGCTGTGATTGCATTATTTTTATGGTGATGGACTTATAAGGATTTGGGAGAAGGGACATTAATAAAGCTCTAACTTGAGAGATTGATGGCCTGAGAGCCCCAGATGCATCTCATGGGGTTTTAGATGGGATCAGGCTGGGACCAGCTGCATAATTTACAAAATCAAAAAGTAGGGACACTTGCTGAAACCTTATTAAGGATTCCAAGATGCTGGCAGCAGGGCATTACGCCAAGTGTGGGGCCCATCTAAGGGCAGGACTCCAGGCAGCTGTGCAGCTGGCACCCCCGTGCAGTGGGCCTCAGTCAGTGTGGTGGGGTCATCGCTGGCATGTAGATGAGGTGAGAGGTCAGGGCAGTGAGCTGTTCTATTTGGCTTTAGGTTCTCTACCTTCCAAGTTTTGTGGGGGTTTTTTTTTTTGTTTTTTTTTTTTTTTTTTTGACTTGGGCAACTGGTAAATGAGTTGTTCCTACCGTCAGAGGTTGGTGAGGCAATGGAGGGTGACCCAGAGGGATGGTCCCATATATGTGGTCACAGATTGCTGCTACTGTGTGCACAGTGGCTTCCTTCATTTCACAGAAGAGCTAGTTCAGCAGTAGTTTAGCAGCAGCCTCCAGAGACCCACACCTGGGTTCCTGTCCCACCAGCTGGGAATCCTTGGGCAGGTCATTTACCCGTGTTCTGTGCCTCAGTTGCCTCCTCCGTAAAGCAAAGTTCCTGAGCTCTCTGTGTGCTAGGGTGGTTTTAAGGTTTGATGAGTTCCTCTGTTCATGCCTGGAACATGGTAAAGTTTGGTAGATGTTTGCTGTTGCTGAAGAAATGGTGGCCCTATGGTTAAGCAGTGGCTCTCCATTTTAGAGGAGAAGAAAGGGTGACAGAAATAAGAGGAATTGCCCAAGGTCACCCAGCAAATGAAGAGGCTGTGCTCTGTCCTCTGCCAGGCACCTGTAGGGACACTTTTGAGGGTGGTGTAAATGCCCACGGTGCTCTGAACCCCCCTTGCTGGTTCAGAGCCCACGAGTTCATTTGGCTCCTGCTGGATGAGCCACCTGTGCTGGGACCCCTTTGTGGAGCTGAAAGCTGGTGGGGAAGGGAGAGAGAGAGAAAGAAAGAGCTGAGGGTCTCAAAGGGAGGGGCAGGGTGCCATGGTGGGCACCAGAGACTAGCCATGGTAAGGGTGGAGACCCAAGCCCAAGGAAGGGGCCTAGAGAAGGTTCTGGAGGGGAAAGTGCCAGCATGGGCTTTGAGGAAAATTGAAGATAAGGGCAGAGGGGCTCATCAGCCTGTGGTGTCCCATGTAGAAGTCCTTAAAAACCACGTTCCTGCCACCTCAGCCACATGGCAGATGGTGAGACCACCTCAGCCTCTCGGCAGGCAGGTGGTGTCAAGAGGCGGGGACACCAGTGAGCCACTGAGAACAGCTGGGACCACACAAGCCCATGGTTTGGGGGGACACCTTGTTTCTTCCTGAAGATGAAGATGAAGACAAGGCGGGTGCAAGGGCGCGCGGAGGAACTTGGGGTGGGGGCTTTGCCAGCCCTCACCTGGTGCTCACATGGGGGCTGCATCCCCCACCCCACCAACCTGCCCTTCACCCCTGCCGCCCTCCTTTTCTTGCCCAGGGTCAGCGGCCTCTCCCCCTTCATGGGTGACAACGATAACGAGACCTTAGCCAACGTTACCTCTGCCACCTGGGACTTCGACGACGAGGCATTCGATGAGATCTCTGATGATGCCAAGGATTTCATCAGCAACCTGCTGAAGAAAGACATGAAGTAAGGACTGGGATTTCAGTCCTGCTGGCCTCCCAGCCCTGGGGCTCTCTTTGGCTTGGTGGGGCTCCCTCACCCCTTGGCCCCAGTCCAGTCTTGCTATTCCCTAAGGAGGGGAGGGCAGCCACAGTGGGAGACCAGCCTGCATGCATGCAGGGAGAGGAAGGGTCCCCCAGACCCCTGGTCCTGGTGCCAGACACTGTTTCCATCTCTAAAAGCACAGAAAGTTCTTTGGAAAAGGTGAGCGCTAAAGAGGGCTGCAGGGTAATGTTCTGTGTGGGTAATGGTTCTGTGTGTGGCTGTAACCTAATGAAGCCCTGCCGGCACCTCAGCCCCTCTTCAAGGCTCACAGGGGATCCACCCTCCCTATATCTGTGAGAGCAGATACAGAGGCAACTGAAACCTGTTGGAGGGTCCTTATCACACCCCCAGATTATTCCAGTGAGGTGCTTTTTGCATATCTAACTTATTTAAGAATTGCCTGCCTGAATGTGGCCCAGTACCTAATAGCACAAAAAGCAGTTGTGAAGTCGGGGGATAGGCTGCTGTGTCTGGGCACACAGATGGCCAAGCTCTAAGGAAAGGGTAGTCACACAGGCCCAGGAATTTCAGTGAGAGCTGGAGGTGGAGCTGTGGGGGAGACTGAAGGGGAGGAGGCTACAGGTGGCTGTGGCTGTGGCTCTGCGGCATTTGTGAGCAGAATCAGCTAGATTAAAGCAAGAAGGTGAGGGAGCTCTGCATGCACAGGGAGAGCTGCCAGGATTGGGAACCTTGGGGATGTCAGGTGGGACCCCCAGTCTATCAGCACTCACCCTCTGTGAATAGATGGCCAGACGAGGCAGGCCTGGCTCCAGTCAGATTTGGGCCTTGGGAGCAGCTGCAACCCTACAGAGATGGGTAGTGTTAAATATTGAAGGACCAGAGGGTTGGGGCAGCTGCCTCCAGGGGTTGCAGGAGGCTCAGCATTTGCAAGTGACTTTGCAGCCTAGGTTCTGCCTGTCTGCCTGGCCCGTGGACCCTATGAGGCTGCAGTTTGCTTCTCCTTGGTAGTAACATTATTTGGGACAGGAGAGCACAGTTGCTACTAAAGCATATCAGAGACTCTGTTAGATGGCTGCATCTGGGTCTCCTGTTATCCACCCACCCCTCTGTCCTCTTTAACCATCTCAGGGCCAACAACCCCAGAGGCAATCGTCTACACTCCTTGACAATGCTTATAGCCTTTGGCTGTCATGGTCATTGTATCAGAAGTGAACATGGCCCAAGGACAGCGGGGAAGTTGTGGTGGGTTAGGTTCATTTCCAAGGTGAGGGATTCCCCCACCCTCCAGGTGGAAACTTCTCTCCTAATGACTGGTCCAAGGATGGCTTTTGTCAACCAAGCTTCATTCATTGAAGATTTGGTACATGCAATATACAGCTTATTTTCTCACCTGGCCTTAAATTAATATAGTAACAGGCTGTTGGGCTCCTCTGCTTATACATTGTCTTACCAAAGACTGATTTTAATCAAATATTTTAAAATGCTAGATTCCCATAAACTCTTATATTTAGCAGTTCTTCAACCAGAAATCTGTCATCACTTTTAAAAATCTTTTTTCTTCTATATAGTAAAATGCATAAATTGTAGAGAATTTGAAGAATTGAAGAAATTTTAAACCATCCATAATCCCTTTACTTAAAGATCACTACCTCCTGCTGCTATACTTCTTTCTAGTCATTTTTCTAAGTATGTTAGTATTTGATTCTTTGGATTTATTAGTCCTGTTACAACTAAAGTGACAGCCCTGTTATATTTCTAGATTCCAAGAGCCTTCAGAAAGATTATATTGAGTTTCAATGCAGTTCTAAGATTTCCATAATTTATAATTTGTATGTAGGACATACCTCTTTGAGCTGTAATAGGAAAAACCTGACACTCAACCCCACCATAAGATGTGAGAGAATTCAGTGATTGTCAGAGGTTTTGTCTTTCCCTAGAAGGGGAAGCAGAAGAATTAGGCCTCCAGGGATCCCAGCCCCCATGTGACCAGCAGAATGAACCCACCCTGAAATATGGTGCCAGTTATACCCAGATACTGCGGCACCGACACTTCCTGAACTCCAGGAGCAAGTCTAGAGACTCCAGTTGCTTCCCTGGTGGTTGGGCCTTCCAAACCCTGACCCAGGCTGGGTCCAGTCCGTGTACCTGAGACCAAGACAGGGGAAAGACAAGTGCACACTGCCCCTGATTATGATGGATGGACTGGGTGTGGGGAGCCCTGAGCTCTGCACCATGTGGACAGAGACAGTAACCTCCCATTTCTGATCTGACCAGTGATCACTGAGGTCCCTTCCTATTCAGAAGTCCTCTGATCTCTCTTCCATCAGAAACCGCCTGGACTGTACCCAGTGCCTTCAGCATCCATGGCTAATGAAAGATACCAAGAACATGGAGGCCAAGAAGCTCTCCAAGGACCGGATGAAGAAGTACATGGCAAGAAGAAAATGGCAGGTGATTTGGGGCTCATTTGGACTGGGATGTTGCTTCTTGTGTTGGCTTTATTCAAGCCACTCTCACTCCCAGCTGGCTCTTGCCTCTCCTGGGAAGTCTAACTGTGTTTCTGAAATAGTCTGGGACCACTGTAGGCAGCTCTTAAGGTACAGTGTTCTCTTGCTCCTGAGCTAGGGTCCTTTGCGCAGAGGAAGTAGTTTCTCAAGTACAGCTGGCTCTCCAATCCTGCTCAGCTTTGTCCCAGAGAGATCAGGAAGGGACTTTGTAGCCTGGCCCTCACTGACATTCATGTCTTCTTAGCTGGGAATGAGCAAGGCCTCCTTGAGGTCTGTTTGGCAACCCCGGAGAATGTGGCCTCCTCAAAGGTGGTGTGATGGCATCCTCTCCCTGTGATCAAGAAGGAGGGCACATGCTCTAGAGAGACTGTCACCACTCCATAGGGAGGTTGGATGTTACTGGCTGTGTGTCCTAAGGCAAGTAACTTAGCCTTGCTGTGAATTCATTTTCTCATCTGTCAAGTGGGGACATTGGCACCAGCTCACAGCATTGTTGGGAGTTAGATGTGATAATCTTACAGCCTTTAGCACAACACCTGGTACGTAGTGAACATTCAAAAACGCTCCCAGCAGTGAATGCATATGGAGGGCTGGCCACGGTCAGAGCCATCCAGAGCATTTGCTGCACATAGAGTCTTTTAATCCCAGGAGGTAGGTACTATTATTTTCTCCACTTTACAGGCAAACTAAGGTAGAGAAAAGGTCAGAAAAGTCCCCCAGCATCACACAGCCAAGTGGAAAGACCAGGAATCCCATCTAAAACCTGGCTCCAAAACACATAGTCCAAATTGCCTCTAATGACAAGATGAATAAAACTGTTATCCTGAACTGGGGCTGTGGCTCAGTGGTAGAGTGCTCACCTAGCATGTGGAAGACCCTGGGTTAGATCCTCAGCACCACATATAAATAAAGGTATTGTGTGCAACTGCAACTAAAATTTTTAAAAACCTGTTATCCAAAACCATAGAGCACTTATCACCATCATCCTCACTTTTTGATTATTTTTATTATCACAATTTACATTCTAAAATTGTCGATTACTGAAGAGGACAAGGTCTGTAGTCAGGGAATGTATATGTAGCAGGGATCTGAAGCAGATAGACATAAAAGGACATAAGGCACACTAGGAGCTATAAACTATCAGTATAGCTCTCCATAACCATATATGTGAGTGTGGGCAGGGGAGGGGGGCCAGTCTCCACCAGAATTGCTGTGGGTAAGAGGAAAGCTTCCAGGGCAGGAGTTGGGAATTAAGCATGGCGCTAGAACCCAGGGAACGTTACATGTTGAATGGGTTCCCTGAAGGAACAAGTGGAAGAAAGAAAGAGTTAGGAACTGGATGTCCCTGGATGTGCTGGGATATGCTTCTGCTAGAAACTTAGGGGACCTAGGGATTGAGACATGCCTGTGTGATGGAGAAAAAGGAAGTCACAGGGACACTTATTATTTACCACCTTGGTGACCAAACCATAAAAACTCCCATGAAAGCACAAGAGGTTGAGAGAGAGAGCAAAGAAGCATGAGGGCCCATGGGTGAGGGGCTCAGGGGACCACTGTCCCCAGCACAGGCAGCCAGAGCTCCTTCACAGGGGAGGGCAGTTCTTGGTTTGCACATGCACCTGGGAAAGGTTGGGTGGGTCTTCTGGCCCCTGCCAAGTGCAAGATGAGTTGGAACACCTGTGCTGCTTACCTTCTGAGTCCTTTAGAATGAGGGTAGGAATTTTTTTTTTTTTTTAAGCTGGGGCGGGGAGGGGAGGTCCACAAAATCAATGGTTGGTTTAACTTAATGATCCTCTGGCTGGAAGAGCTCAAAGAAGTATTTCTGGAAACAAAGTCAGGGTGGGGCAGTAATCAGAGCAGCAAGTCTGACTGGATCTTGCTTGGACGAAGCTGTTTGTTAAAGGGCAGGCCTATCACCTCCGCACATCTCAGGAGTACTGAAGCCAGGAGGACACCTGAACCTTAGGCTAGGCAGAGAAAAGGCACAAGGTGGGAGAGGAGCAAGTCTGATCAGCCAGGGAACAGAAATTTATGCTGATATTTTAATCACTTAATTTTTTTTTCTTATCATTTAAGTATTATTAGCCATAGAGTTTTCTAGAAGAGGAACAGGGAAGAAAAGGGTAGGATTCAGAGAAAGTGCTTCAATTCCATATTTTAATATAGATAAAAGTGTTTGGAAATAATTTTTGTGCAAAATCAATGGTCAGGTTTCACAAAACGGCACGTTAAGGTAGTCCATAAAACCCTTTCAACACGTAACGTCCCTGAAGCGTAATTTCACTGGTGACAATTCAGCTGTGTCTGCCCTGCTGTCATAAGTCACTTCCTCAGGGAAATGTTTTCTGCATTTAAACTTCAGTTTAAATTCAACTTCATTCAACTTGGCTCTCAGGGCAGCCAGTCCCGTTCTGTGGGGCAGGGAGAAATGGAGTGAAAGACGTGAGGTAAGCTGTGCGGAGGGAATAGGGCAGGGTGAGCACAGGTGGCCCAGCCAACTCTAGAAAGAACCTTGTCACTGTCCTGGTGTCCTGGTTTTCATAAAAGGCCCAGGAGAAAGTAATCTGGAAATAAATCCCTACAAGCAAGGCTAGACTAGGTATAGATGGCCAATCATATCATAGATCTTAGAATAAGTTATTCTGAAAGGTGTATTTTAAATTTATACGGAAAGAACTTTACAAAGCCCTGTTGTTGAGGAATAGCAATGGTGATGGGTCAGGCAGGATAACAGGGCTTCTGCTTGCAGACTAGAGTAGAAGACCAGGACTTGGAGGCCTATAGGTAGCCATCTTTATTTTCTGGGAACCAAAGATCCCAGCAGAATGGATCAAAGGACACCAGGGGAGAAGCCTTAGTTAGAGCAGCACAGACCAAGCTTGGCCATCCTATTTGGATGTTGTCAGGAGACATTGTAGTCTTCGGGCTATTGGTATGTATGTGGGGCCTGGATGGCTGACAGGTGCTAGGTTACCAGCTCGACTCGGTTTGCCAGAGACAGACCCCCCCTGGGAAACCCCTAATCCTGGGCAACCTGGGATGGTGGGTTATTCTAACTCACTTTCCAAGGGCCGGGTTTCCTCCACTGTGTTCGAGGTCTGGACAGATCTTGCCCTACCTTGGTAATTGCCCACCAATGAAAAGAAGGCTTTCTCAAAACAAGGATGGAAGTTAGAAAATTGAAACTTTGCTGTTTTGATTTTTATTCTCCAAATTCCCAAAGGTCTTGGTAAAGCAGCAACTGAAAAATTTTCAGCTCAAAGGCTTGAAACTGGAAGACTAGAACATACAGATATATTTCTTTCTTAGCCTGACAAATAACTTCCTTACCAATGTTTTTCTACAAATCAGTTTCCAAAGATTGAATTCTGATGTAGATTATTTTTAAATTTTTCCTTATTAAGCACTTGCGTTTCTCCCTGGTTAGGAAATTATATGCTGAATATCTACATCTGCTGGAACACTTCTCTGGGTGACACTACTTGCTTGTTAACATATTTGCTGCCTCCTCTGAAATACATAACCCTTTTTGATTGCCTCATTCTGATAATTTCACATTAGTCATTTTGTTACAAAATAAAACCAAGAAGAGAAAAGATATCATCTCTCCATATCACATAAGCAAAGATGGTCTTTATCAATCTCTGTCCAGATGTCTGGAATTAGGGAGCCCATGAGCTCAAAGGGGGTGTTCCCTACTACATAGTCATGAGTATGAATCAGTCTTTCTGTGGAAGACTAGAGTTTCAAGAAGATCAGAATATTCTGATGAAAAGACCCTGAGGCCCAGAAAGGAAAACTAACCTGCACAAGTCACACAGTAGTTATAGAAATAACCTGGCTCATGTTGGGAATAATCCCTCTGAATTTAGAAATGCCTAGCCAAGGACAAATCAATCTGTGTTGGATAAAGGGAATGGAGAGCAGAGAAGAGTGGATTCTGAGAGTTAGGCTGATCAGGAAGTAGGCTGTTGAGACAGACCTTGATGGCCCAGGTAGGGCTATTATCTTCTTAGGGATTCCTAAAGGCGTGGCAAGCTCTCTTGGGAAAAACTAGGTCTCTCCATACACTAGCCAACAAACAGTTCAGCTAGGCCACTGGTGACTGGCCTCTCCCAGGAGAGCAGGAAATGTTGCCACATGGTGTCCATCTGCAGGGACATTCTCTGCAAAACCACTGGGCTTCTGCACACCATTGCATTGTCATTGCTCACCGTCTTCCTTCTTCATCACCCCGCTGAGGTTTCCTGGGTTCTGTTTAGAGTGACCCAGCTCTACCATGGCAGCAGAGGTCCAGAGGCACACCCACAGTACAGTGCCATGTGTGGAGGGTGGATGGCCAGAGGACAGAGCAAGGTGGAATGTCTGTCCAGGGTGTGACTCAGAGGGCAGGGGCATGATGGAAAAGTGATCACAGTTGCAACAGTAGGTCTCTACTTAAACCACACACAGACAATTTTCTGTATGATTCCTTAGCATCCTGAAGTTCTTTGCTTTTAATTTTTTTTTTTTTTTTTATTTTTTTTTTTTTTTTTTGGTGCTGGGGATTGAACCCAGGGGCAGGCACTTAATCACTGAGCCACATCCCTAGCCCTTTTTAATATTTTATTTAGAGACAGGGTCTCGCTGAGTTGCTTAGGGCCTCATTAAGTTTGGCTTTGAACTTGGGATCCTCCTGACTCAGCCTCCTGAGCTGCTAGGATCACAGGCATGCGCCACCACGCCCAGCTGAAATAATCCTTTTACTGAAAACACTGACTTCCCAGATAAATTGAGGCTTTACTGAGCTTCTTAAGTGTGGGAAGTTAATTCAGGAGGAAAACGGTTTTTGCCTGTGCAGTGTGTGGTCCGGTGAGCGAGTGCAGAGCATCAGGCCTCTGGAAAGGCTGTTTCTTTGCTCTCTCAGAAGGGGACAAGTGGCCCATCTGAGGTCATAGCTGCTGGGCTTCTGCAGATGTCAGCCTCTGGATGCCTAAGAAAGCTGCTGTGAGGCAAGATGGAGAGACCTGGCCATGCTATAGCTTTCTTATCTTAGTCATTCCCACTGGCTTTAGAAAAAGGGTGAGAAACTTTATTGAAAGATGAGAAACACAGTTATACACTTTTGAAGATTTCTTGACCTAAATCCTATGCTTGGTAGAATTTTCACAATCCAGAGAAAGTAGATCTCAAGGCACTGGGGTCATGGCGCAGGGGTAGAGCCCCGCACGTGCGAGGCCCTGGGTTCAATCCTCAGCACCACACAAAAATCAATCAATCAATCAATCAATCAATAAAAGTATAAAAGAAAGAAACTAGATCTCAAGTTCTGATCCTTCTCAGCAGCAATTCCACTCCTCCCAAAGTTCCTCTTCGGGTGCTGCTTCTCGATGCCTGAGTGTAGAGCAGGGACTAGCACCCCTCTCGACTCCACTGTGCTGTCAGAGACTTGTGCTGGGGCCAGCCCAAGTGTTTCTCGAAATCTCCTAAGACTCTAAATCATTGACTGAGCTAAATGGAACTGTGGAGATCTTCTTGCCCAAACCCTCCTAATACACAGAAGGAAACTGAAGTCCAGAGAGGTTAAGTGGAGCTCCCAAGGTCAACAGAATGTTGGTTTTTGTTTTTTTTTTTTTTCCTTGTGCATCAGGACCCATGGGATCTGTAGTAACTATTCTCTTGACCAGTTATAATCCTTTCACTGGCATTGTTTTACAAGAAACAGCCCCAGTGGGCCCAGTCAGCAATAAGTCTTTGGAGCTGTCTCAGCCTGCAGTTGCTTTATATAAACTATCCCTTTTATGGGAGTTGAAGCACAGTATGAAAAGGGTTTTTGTTTCATGTTGACCTTGTTTAGTCACATTAACGCACACACCAGCTCCAGGCCCCATTCCATTCTCCGAACATCTTCGGACACGCTGATAGTGCTGAGCAGAGCAAGGTTGGGCTCAGTCCTCCAGCAGGACCTCTGCGCTCGCTCGGGAGGCCCTTGGTCCAGGGAGCAGCTGTTTCTCCCAGGCTGGGCTCTTCTCCCCGGAGGCCCGGCACTGCTCCACTGGAACCAGGGACACTGCTTGAGTCCAGACTGTGTCTGTTTTCCAGAAAACGGGCAATGCTGTGAGAGCCATTGGAAGACTGTCCTCTATGGCAATGATCTCAGGGCTCAGTGGCAGGAAATCCTCAACGGGATCACCAACCAGCCCGCTCAATGCAGAAAAGCTAGAATCTGAAGGTAAGGAGCCTGGTAAAAATTCAAGAAGATTTTTTTTTTTTCCAGCCAGTTGGTGAAAAAGAAAGGGTTGGGGTAGAGGAGCATTTTGAATATTTGGGGTTTGGCTGTGTGTGTGTGTGTGTGTGTGTGTGTGTGTGTGTTAATGTATCCTACAAGGATAAATTCAGGAGTACTTTTAGGTTTCCCTGACAACAATTACTAAATCTAGCGAGTATTCTTTAATTGTTTAACCGTGTGTTTAACTATTTTCAGTGGGAAAGTTATTCTATGCCTACTAGAACTAGATGACCTCGGCTCTTCTTTTCCCTCTATTTTGCATAAAAATTAATAAGGACTTATTAAAAACTTCTCTTTTATTAAAAAATTGAGACATATATTGATAGGCAAAGACAAAATAAAAA